ATTTGCTTCAGAACCCCAAAAGAATAGCACATGATAATCCCTATATTGCCCTTAAGAAGGGTTTAGGGTTTAGGGTTTAGGGCTTAGGGTTTAGGGTTTAGGGTTTAGGGGGAAGGTTTTTTTTTGTTTTCTCATTTTTTGGGCGTTCTTAAGCAACTAGTAGTAGTGGTTGGGGCCCTGTCTTCGGTCTGGGTTTAGGGTTTAGGGTTCAGGGTTTAGGGTTTGGGGTTTAGGGTTTAGGGTTTGGGGTTTAGGGTTTAGGGAGAGCCCCGAATCCGGAAGTCCCCCAGCCCTGCTCCCTCATGCCCAAGGTCGCCGGTCCCAGTTTTTGCCCGGGCCTAGACAGGCGAGTGTCCTTCCGATGAGGGGTTAGGTTTTAGGGTTTAGGGTTTTAGGGTTTAGGGTTTCGGGTTTAGGGTTTAGGGTTTACGGTTTTGGGCGCGCATGTCTCGACATGCCGCCTTCATGCACTGGTGAGGGGCTGCAGCCGCAAACTAATCCCTTCTGATTGATGTGCGCCACGGAGATCTCTGAAGGGATGATTCTCATGTTTGCGACATCCTAAACCCTAAACCCTAAACCCTAAACCCTAAACCCTAAACCCTAAACCCTAAACCCTAAACCCTAAACCCTAAACCCTAAACCCTAAACCCTAACCCCTAACCCCTAACCCCTAACCCCTAACCCCTAACCCCTAGCCCCTAACCCCTAACCCCTAACCCCTAACCCCTAACCCCTAACGTTGAATTTTGTGTGAGCGTCAAGGCAGTGGGCTTCGATATGCATTGTTTGTGGTACGTGGTCCCCCCACCTTTTCGATTCATTTTGCATATACAAGCCTTCACGCAGGCAGAAAAAAACGGGGGCTTCTGCCGGCACCTCGCATCTAGCCCTAAACCCTAAACCCTAAACCCTAAACCCTAAACCCTAAACCCCTAGACTCCCGGACACCAAAAGCCCCAAACCAAACCTACCTGTTCTCAAAGGCTGAAGTCAGGATGCTTCACTCTGGAAAGCAACTGTTCCCTTCTAAGTGAATCTTCTCAGCGCTTCTGGGTTCTAGGGTTTAGGGTTTAGGGTTTAGGGTTCAGGGTTCAGGGTTTAGGGTTTAGGGTTTAGGGTTTAGAGAGGTTTCCCCAAGATTTGTGGTCTTAGGCTCGAGAAGAGAAGCCTAGACCTGACGTCCTACCTTCAGCCGAACACCTAAAGCAGCGAAGCCCTCGCAAAGCCTAGGGGAAGTAAAGACCTGTTAGTTATTCAAACTTCCCACCAGGGGACCTGAGCCACACCTTTCAAAAGAAAGCGTGAGCCCACGCACGTTTAACATGCAAATCCTCCCCCCCCCCCCCCCCCCCTCTCCCCAGACACCCCAAGGTCCCTGGTCCCCTTGTCCTCCTTTTGAATGATGCGCAATCAGCGAGCCCAACGGAGATATGGGGTTGACGATACCAGGGGTACCCCTTCTATACCCCTAAATAGCTGCTGTAGTCAAGCCTGCGCTCAGGCGAGAGTGTGATTGGACCCAGAACGAAAGCCTGGGAGCTAGTCGAGAGCACTAGTATTGAAGAATTCGATTGAGGATGGAGCTGCAGCTTGAAAACCTTTAGCTGACGGTTTTGGAAGTGGTTAGCTTTAGGGTTTAGGGTTTAGGGTTTAGGGTTTAGGGCTCTGTTCCCAGCAAATCCATGATACAGTGCCTGCTGCCACTGGTAAGCGTTTTGGCCCAAACGCGAGTCGTACGACCTTGCCGTGTGGAGGACTGCGCTGCTCAATCTTAGAAGAGTCGGATCCAGAGTAGGCACTTGTTCCGGTTTTGGGGCTTATGCTGTTCATATTCACTACAACAATCTGCAATTTGTGTATATGATCTTGCTGTTTTGGTGGTTGTGACCATGGATGTTTTGATGTTCAATTGCTTTCAGGCTCCCTTCTAAGCCCCTTTAAAGGGTTTAGTGTTTAGGGTTTAGGGTATAGGGTTTAGGGTTTAGGGTTCTCAATTACTCTTGGGTCTAGTTCAAGCTCGGAGCCAGAGCAATCAAGCGCACAGCACAGGCGGCATAGGTTGTGAGTTGTTTTCTTGTCAGGGGATGTTCGGGGCTTTTGGGGCTGGAGTTAAGGGTTTAGGGTTGAGGGTTTAGGGTTGAGGGTTTAGGGTTTAGGGTTGAGGGTTTAGGGTTTAGGGGTTAGGGTTTAGGGTTTAGGGTTGAACCTCCTGGACCCCCAACGTGGTAAAATAGGGTCGAGGCTTAGGCTTCGGATACGGTTTTCACACGCGGGTGCTTCTGTAAACACTAGACCCTAAACCCTAAACCCTCTCTATCCTTATAGATTTATTAAACCTTATTAACTTTTTGGTGCGTTTACCCCCCGTTGTTGAGCACTTTTTGGTGCAATCGGCACCGTTCTTGAGCACTTTTTGGTGCGTCGGCACCGTTCTTGAACACTCTTTGGTGCGTCGGCACCGTTCTTGAGCTCTTTTTGGTGCAATCGGCACCGTTCTTGAGCACTTTTTAGTGCGTCGACACCGTTCTTGAGCACTTTTTGGGTTCGTCGGCACCGTTCTTGAGCACTTTTTGGTGCGTCGGCACCGTTCTTGAGCATTTTTTGGTGCGTCGGCACCGTTCTTGAACACTCTTTGGTGCGTCGGCACCGTTCTTGAGCACTATTTGGTGCAATCGGCACCGTTCTTGAGCACTTTTTAGTGCGTCGACACCGTTCTTGAGCACTTTGAGGTGCGTCGGCACCGTTCTTGAGCACTTCTTGGTGCATTTGGCACCGTTCTTGAGCACTTTTGGTGCAATCAGCACCGTTCTTGAGCACTTTTTGGGTTCGGCACCGTTCTTGAGCACTTTTGGTGCAATCAGCACCGTTCTTGAGCACTTTTTGGGTTCGTCGGCACTGTTCTTGAGCACTTTTTGGGTTCGGCACCGTTCTTGAGCACTTTTTGGTGGGCACCGTTCTTGAGCACGTTTTAGTGCGTCGACACCGTTCTTGAGCACTTTTTGGGTTCGTCGGCACCGTTCTTGAGCACTTTTTGGTGCAATCGGCACCGTTCTTGAGCACTTTTTAGTGCGTCGACACCGTTCTTGAGCACTTTGAGGTGCGTCGGCACCGTTCTTGAGCACTTCTTGGTGCATTTGGCACCGTTCTTGAGCACTTTTGGTGCAATCAGCACCGTTCTTGAGCACTTTTTGGTGCAATCGGCACCGTTCTTGAGCACTTTTTGGTGCGTCGGCACCGTTGTTGAGCACTTAGTGGTGCGTCGGCACCGTTCTTGAGCACTTTTTGGTGCGTCGGCACCGTTCTTGAACACTTTTTGGTGCGTCGGCACCGTTCTTGAGCACTTTTTGGTGGGCACCGTTCTTGAGCACGTTTTAGTGCGTCGACACCGTTCTTGAGCACTTTTAGGTGCGTTGGCACCGTTCTTGAGCACCTTTTGGTGCGTCGGCACCGTTCTTGAGCACCTTTTGGTGCGTCGGCACCGTTCTTGAGCACTTTGTGGTGCGTCGGCACCGTTCTTGAGCACTTTTGGTGCGTCGGCACCGTTCTAGAGCACTTTTAGGTGCGTCGGCACCGTTCTTGAGCACTTTTGGTGCAATCAGCACCGTTCTTGAGCACTTTTTGGGTTCGTTGGCACCGTTCTTGAGCACTTTTTGGTGCGTCGGCACCGTTCTTGAGCACCTTTTGGTGCGTCGGCACCGTTCTTGAGCACTTTTTGGTGCGTCGGCACCGTTCTTGAGCACCTTTTGATGCGTCGGCACCGTTCTTGAGCACTTTTTGGTGCGTCGGCACCGTTCTTGAGCACTTTTTGGTGCGTCGGCACCGTTGTTGAGTGAAGTTTATAAAGCAAAAAATGGGATTCTTTGGGTGGGTGGGTTTGTTCCTAAGCCTGGAACCCCCTAGTGACTATGAATGCTAGAACAGTGACCCTCTAAGCCCGAAACCCTAAACCCGAAACCCTAAACCCTAAACCCTAAATCCTAAACCCTAATGCCTAAACCCTAAACCCCAAACCCCAAAACCCAAACCCCAAACCCCAAACCCTAAACCCTAAACCCCAAACCCCAAATCCGAAACCCTAAACCCTAATCCCTAAGCCTAAACCCTAAACCCTAAAACCTAAACCCTAAACCCTAAACCCTAAACCCCAAACCCTAAACCCCAAACCCTAAACCCCAAACCCAAAACCCTAAACCCTAAACCCGGTGAAAGTTTTCGCGTTCTCCACCGTCAGAGTTCCAGGACTGCTCTTCGCCCATCGAGATGGCCTCCATGGCCCGGAGCCCAGGTAGGGTTTAGGGTTTAGGGTTTAGGGTTTAGGGTTTAGGGTTTAGGGTTTAGGGTTTAGGGTTTAGGGTTTAGGGTTTAGGGTTTAGGGTTTAGGGTTTATGGTTTAGGTTTAGGGTTTAGGGTTTAGGGTTTAGGGTTTAGGGTTTAGGGTTTAGGGTTTAGGGTTTAGGGTTTAGGGTTTAGGGTTTAGGGTTCAGGGTTTAGGGTTTAGGGGTAGAGGCTTTCCGAGGTTCATTCAGGGGCCAACCTAGGACCCAGGGTTTCGGGTTTAGGGTTTCGGGTTTAGGGTTTCGGGTTTCGGGTTTAGGGTTTGGGGTGCTTTGGGGGTGTGGGGGCCAGAAAAAGGCTCAAGATTCGAACGGCGCCAAGAGCCTCTGACTCACAGGGACATGATTCTGCTAGCTGCTAGCAGGTACTATAGGGGTCGGAATAAGTACTACCAATGTTCCCTTATGGTCCCTATATTTTTATACGAAATTAACCCCCAAAGCCCTGTCCTAATGATCAAGGCTCCCACAATAGTCATCTGCGCTTGCTGCACCCACATCAAGACGGCGTTTTTAGGAGCATGCGCCTCGCACCCTCCAAAGATCTTGATTCCACGCAGGAGAGCCGGAACCCTGCTTTAGGGTTTAGGGTTTGGGGTTTCGGGGTTTCGTGTTTAGGGGTTTGGGGTTTAGGGTTTGGGGTTTAGGGGCACATCCAAGGACATGTTCACCAGCTTGGACGCAGATGGTAGCGGCAGCATCTCCCGCGACGAGTTTGCGAAGCTGATGCAGCAGATGCAGGGTCAGGAGCTGCGTTTCGGGTCCTTCGGGTGTCAGGGTTTAGGGTTTCAGGGGCTTCAGGGACACAAGTTGGGGTCCTTGCGCAGCACGTGCAACTTTACACATTCATCACCCGAGTTAGAGATCAGCAGGTGTCCATAGGCTGCGGCTGGGTTTTTTTGTAAACTCCCAGATGACTACTGTAGGAGCCTTAATAATTTCAACAGGGTTTTGGGGGGTAGTACAGTATATTTATACAGGGACAATATAAGGGAATATGAATAGTGCTTAAGGGTTCGGGTTGTTGGGAGTTGTGGCTTCAAGGACAGTCGAGCCCCGACATGGTCGTAGCTGTGAAGCTTGGAGTTTCAGGAGCTGTTGTGAAGCTCTAGGTACAGCCAAGCCTTGCGGGAAGGAACTCCCCTACAAATAGGGTTTAGGGTTTAGGGTTCAGGGTTTAGGGTTCAGGGTTCAGGGTTTAGGCTTTGGCTGCCTCTGGAGCAGAACACCACCTGCCCGTCTTGCGGCAACGTGTACATGGACGACTCGCTGTTCTGCCGGAAGTGCGGCCAGAAGCGCGACCAGGCGCGGTCCCTACACCCTAAACCCTAAACCCTAAACCCTAAACCCTAAACCCTAAAACCCTAAAACCCTAAACCCTAAACCCTAAACAACCCAAAACAACCCTAAACCACCCTAAACCACCCTAAACCACCCTAAACCACCCAAAACCACCCTAAACCACCCTAAACCACCCTAAACCACCCTAAACCCCCCTAAACCCCCCTAAACCCTAAACCCTAAACCCTAAACCCTAAACCCTAAACCCTAAAACCTAAACCGTAAACCCTAAATGGACCGATGTGAAGCCTAAACCCTAAGCCCGAAAGAGGGGGGAGGTGGGGGAACCCATAAATCCTTAAAAGGTACCCCTTCTATACCCCTTATATAGCCCTTATGTGAAGCAGGGTTTATATGACTGTTCTTGGTGAGTGCATATATAAGGGTCCTTTTTAATATTGGTGAGTGTGATATATTGGGTGTCCTTCTGGGGATACAAGAAATGCAAGCCCCTCTTCGATGTGGTGGCGGATCGGCTGCAGGCTTATAGGTGAGTTCAGGCTTAGGATTTCCTGGAAGAGTAGGGTTGTTCTGCACCCTAAACCCTAAACCCTAAACCCTAAACCCTAAACCCTAAATTCCCACCCGGCCTGCTTCGGCCGTACCCACCCTTTTCTAGGGTGCCTGGACCCAGAAGATATCCGGCAGTGATGAACACCTTGACTGGATAAACAATGGGTGGAGCCATTGGAGAATGGTCGAATAAAGAGCCCCTCGGGCTCGCCTTGCCATTAGGCCACCAGAGTGGCGCCCATATTTACACAGGGATCCTCCGATCCTCCTCTTGATGAGAAGACCCTAAAATTCAGGACCCGAGCCCTCAAAAGTCCACCACCCTGGAGCCCCTGGGCCCCCCTCTGGAGGCCCCCTGGACCCCGGCCCGAAAATCCTGAAATCTGGGGTCTGCCATGGGGGGGTACCCCTTCCGGAGCCAAAAACCGCCCAAAAAGGCATTTTTGGCCACCCACAACCCCCCCTGACCCCGGCCCCCCCTGGCCCCCCCTGGCCCCCCCTGGCCCCCCCTGGCCCCCCTGGCCCCCTGGCCCCCCCTGGCCCCCCCCCGGCCCCCTCCCCGCTTTGGGCCCCCCTAGCCCTCTGGCCCCCCCCCGGCCCCCTTTCCTGACCCCCCCCTCACCCCTCCTTGGCCACCAACCCCCCGCCCGCCCCCCCCCTCCTTTCTGTTCTCCCTCGCCCCGCACCTTCACCAGTGTGGGAAAGCAATGGTGGGAATTGAGGGCGACAGCCCTAAACCCTAAAAGGTAGTGGTTTGGGTGGTGGCCTGTGAAAGCTCACAGCGGGTGGGGAGAAAGAACCCAGCACCAATGAAATTGTTGGATTACATTGCAAACAGATGCCTTCGCGTGACATGCCGCCCCCCCACACCCCCTGGGTGTGTAGGGGCGCCATTTACACATGGTACTTACTGCCGCTGCGCGGCGAGACACCCTAAACCCTAAACCCTAAACCCTAAACCCTAAACCCTAAACCCTAAACCCCTAAACCCTAAACCCTAAACCCTAAACCCTAAACCCTAAACCCTAAACCCTAAACCCTAAACCCTAAACCCTAAACCCTAAACCCTAAACCCTGCCAGCTGAGCCAAATTTTCAGAGCAGGGGCTAAAGCATCAAGCTATGAGACAGCAATTGGGGGCACCCCTCCCAGGCTCTGGGCCTTTGGGGTGAGGGATGATGGGGTAAGCTGTTGAGTTGAATGTGACTTGGGATTCTGAATCATGTGTTCGGGGCATAGGCCGCGGAGCTTGGGGGCTTAAGATTTTATGGATTTAGAGCTCCGAATTTTGGGTTTAGTGGCTTGCTTGGACATTTTGTGTGTTTGGCCACCTCTTATACAGCCCGTCCGTTTTGTTGCTGCAGTTCCTGAATGAAGGGTTTGGGCTTGGGGATCGGGGGTGTGCAAAAGACATCGTACTTTCGAGGCCCCTGGCGCGTACACCGGCGCGCCGGGCGCCGTTCCCTACGGGGCTCCGGTCACGTACGGAGCACCGGCAACTGGCGCCAGCCCTTACGGAGCTCCGGTCAGCTACGGTGCTCCTGCGCCTGCCACATATGGGGCTCCGGCTGGCTACGGAGCTCCGGTGACCTACGGAGCTCCGGCGCCTGCCACGGCCAGCCCGGTGACCTACGCGGCTCCGGCGCCTGCCACGGCCAGCCCGGTGACCTACGCGGCTCCGGCGCCTGCCAACTATGGAGCGCCAGCAACCAGCCCAGTCACCTACGCCGCCCCGGCGCCTGGCCCGGTGACTTACGCAGCCCCTGCCCCTGCCAATTACGGAGCTCCAGCAAGCAGCCCAGTCACCTACGCGGCTCCGGCGCCTGCCACCACCAGTCCGGTGACCTACGGAGCTCCTGCGCCTGCCACCTACGGCGCTCCAGCCCCGGTGACCTATGTGGCTCCGGCGCCTGGCCCGGCCACCTACGGAGCTCCAATGCCTGCCTACACAGCTCCGGCCGCCACAACCAGCCCTGTCACCTACACGGCTCCTGCAGCCACAACAAGCCCGGTGACCTACACAACTCCGGCCGCCACTACAAGCCCGACAGTTCCGGCCACCACTACAAGCCCCACCGCTGTGGCACCAGGCTCATCTCAAGCAATGGCCCCTATGTCATCCTCGGCTGCAGTGGCGGCGCCGATCCAGAGCATGCCAGCGACGACCACCCCGGTCACCACCTACACCGCTCCAGCCGCCACTACCAGCCCGGTTACCTACACAGTGCCGGCTGCCACCACGGCGCCTGCCACTGCCGGCCCGGTCACCTATGGAGCTCCGGTTCCTGCCACGACTGGCCCAGTGACCTATGGAGCTCCGGTTCCTGCTTCCGGCACCAGCCCTTACGGAGCTCCTGTCAGCTACGGTGCTCCGGCACCGAGCACCACCAGCCCTTATGGAGCCCCGGTCTCCTACGGAGCTCCGGTGCCTGCCACGAGCCCGGTCGTCACCTACGCAGCTCCAGCGCCTGCCCCTGCCGGCCCGGTCACCTATGGGGCGCCAGCGCCTGCCACGAGCCCGGTTGTCCCATACGCAGCCCCGGCGCCTGCCACCTACGGGGCTCCGGCGCGGCCCTCAGATGAGTCATGAGTTCGAGATGTCGAGGGAATCATGGCAGTGCAGAGCAAGAGGCCCTAAGCCCGAAACCCTAAACCCTAAACCCTAAACCCTGAACCGTTTGAGGAATTGCCCGTCGCAATGCGCATAGATAGTTAGGTGAGTCGCTTCGTTCGCTCTGAGGCTCCATACATGGCGCCATCCTCAGACTGGACGGGTCAGTCTTAGGGTTGAGGGTTGAGGGTTTAGGGTTTAGGGTTTAGGGCTTAGGGTTTGGGTTTAGGGTCTATAACTCCGAGCCCGAATCGGGAGTGGCCGAGAGTTTGGGCTTTCAGATTCAGGACTTTGGCTTTTGAAGTGGCTGTGTCGTCCGAAAGGGTGGGTGCGTGGGACGTCACACATCGGGCAGTCAACCTGCCTCCGAAGCCTTAGAATCTACCCTAAACCCTAAACCCTAAACCATAAAAAAGCCTTAACCCTAAACCCCAAGCCCTAAACCCTAACAGGGGCCCCGAAAACCTTCCAAAGATCCTTGAGCACATGAGCTTCGATTGAATGCTGTCATGCCACTGTGCAAGACTCATGTTGTACTTGCTGCGTAACCCCTGCCAGCTAGATGATCACGAAGCCACTCTGCCCATGAGCTGTAACTAGGGAATGAGCAGTCAAGCTTCCACGGAGGGCGCATTTTCCTGCTATTTTGTGTTGCGCCTCTCCCGTTCTTCTTCTTCTTCTTCATGTTTAGTTTTCTTCTCCATCTTCTTCTTTTTGCTTCATAACTTCATGCCCAGAAGAGAACTTGCCTTAAAAGCATCGGAATCCTTTCCAAACTTGTCCTGCGAGCATTGTGTTTGCAACTGGGGAAGAGAACTTCCATGAGAAGCAGAAGAATCCTTTCCAAACCCATCCCGCGAGCGTTGTGCTTTGTTGTGTTTGCAACTGGGGGGAGCTTTTTCTTGACTCATGTCCACAAGAGAAGTTGCATTAAAAGCATAGGAATCCTTTCCCATCCCTTCCTTCGAGCATTGCGTCGATGAATTAGAAGCATAGGATTCTTCATAACATTAAGAAGAATCCCAAAAATCAGTCGGAATCCTATTAACATACAGAGGGAAGAGAGGTTCCTAGGCAAAGCCTAGGACACTGACCAACAAACATCGCAAAAGCAGGAAACTGCGAAAAATGACTCCACCCGTTTTCCTGTGGCGATATACCCCGACTAAACGTGGAGATTGTGTGTGAAAGGTCTTGACAGTTAAACGGCCTCCCGAGCAAAAGACGAGGAGCGACACAAACCCCCACCCAACTTCAGCCCTCCAAGGACCAATTCGCCCGCCTGGACGTGAACAGTGATGGCACGCTATCCCGCGAGGAGTTTGCGAAGCTCATGGGCCAGGTGGCGGATGCTGGAAAGCTTAAGCCTAAGCCAAGCCCCTCAACCTTAAGCCCACAATCGTCTGGAAGTTGGTTCAGGGTTACAGGATGTCATAGCTGGTTTCGGACGTCTCGCCAGAATTTGAAGATCGAATGGAAGCATGGCTTCTCAACACACCCTGTGGTGAAAAAGGGCTTCAGGTCGAGGACTTCTGACATGGCAGCAGTTCATCACTCCACCCTAGAGGTGGTGCAATTCTTGAGTGGTTTTGTTCTTCAGCTCGGCATGGACCTGCAAAGGTGGCACCCGGACCTGGCTCTTCTGTGCAGTACGCGCAGCCACAGCCAGCTTATGGTTCCTCGGTGGCGGGTCCCTCGGTGGCTATGCCGGGCCCTGCTCCAGCGCCAGGCCCTGCTCCAGCGCCGTCGAACGCTGTGTACGCAGCCCCAGCACCAGGCACGACCCCTGGCCCAGCGCCGTCGAACGCTGTGTATGCAGCCCCAGCGCCGGCCCCTGGCCCGGCGCCATCGAACGCTGTGTACGCTGCCCCAGCACCAGGCACAACACCGGCCCCTGGCCCGGCGCCATCGAACGCTGTGTACGCAGCACCTGCACCAGCCCCCGGCCCAGCGCCGTCGAACGCTGTGTACGCAGCACCTGCACCAGGCACAACACCGGCCCCTGGCCCAGCGCCGTCGAACGCTGTGTACGCCGCCCCAGCACCAGGCACAACACCGGCCCCTGCCCCAGCGCCGTCGAACGCTGTGTACGCAGCACCTGCACCGGCCCCCGGCCCAGCGCCGTCGAACGCTGTGTACGCAGCACCTGCACCAGGCACAACACCGGCCCCTGGCCCAGCGCCATCGAACGCTGTGTACGCCGCCCCAGCACCAGGCACAACGCCGGCCCCTGCCCCAGCGCCGTCGAACGCTGTGTATGCAGCCCCGGCACCAGCACCGACCCCCGCACCTGCGCAGCCCATGACCTACGCTGCACCAGGCCCTGCACCTGGCCCGCAGCCCATGACATATGCTGCCCCAGCGCCCGCACCCGCCCAGCCCATGACATATGCTTCCCCGCAGCCCATTCCCTATGCTTCCCCAGCACCCGCCACCTACACTGTGGCACCAGGCTCATCCCAAGCAGTGGCCCCCATGACATCCTCGGCTGCAGTGGCGGCACCGATTCAGAGCATGCCTGCCACGACCAGCCCTGTCGCAAGCCCGGTCACTACCAGCCCGGTCACCTACACCGCTCCGGCCGCCACGACCAGCCCGGTCACCACCTACACAGCGCCGGCTGCCACTACTAGCCCTGCGGTGACGTATGCAGCTCCTGCGCCTGCCACCACCGGACCGGTCACCTATGGAGCTCCAGTGCCTGCCACTACTGGCCCGGTGACGTACGGAGCTCCCGTGCCTGCCACTACCAGCCCGGTCACCTACAGCACAGCACCAGCTCCCACCACCAGCCCGGCCACCTACACAGTGCCGGCTGCCACCACAAGCCCTGCGGTGACGTATGCAGCTCCGGCGCCTGCCACTACCGGCCCGGTCACCTATGGAGCTCCGGTGAGCTACGGAGCTCCGGCGCCAGCCACCTATGCGGCTCCGGCGCAGTCCTCAGATTCATAGATGAGTCATGAGTTCGAGGAGGGAGAGGGAGAGGGAGAGGGAGAGGGAGAGGGCGAGGGCGAGGGAGAGGGAGAGGGAGAGGGATTCAGAAAGAGAAACAGAAAGACAAAGAGAAAGAGAAAGAGAAAGAGAAATAGAGAACGTTTCGTTGAAACACCGAGCCCTTGCATCTGCAGTGCATCGCAGATCCGTGGTTAGTGATGTTAGTGTCGTAGCCGGCTGCTCCGCAGATTCGCCGAGGCTCCATACATGGTGCCATCCTTAGACTGGACAGCTTAGCCCGACTGCCTACGTCGTGATAACTCGTGGCTGAGAGTTTGGGGTCAGGTTCCGCACTTTGGTGTTGAGGTGGTTGTGCCGACGCCTGTCGACGCCACAAGGTGATTAGGGTTTAGGGTTTAGGGTTTAGGAGGCTTGTGAAGATGATGTCTTGAGTGCGGGCGTAAGACCTGTAGGGTGCATCGGGCAACATGCCTTTGAACCTAGATGCTTTGCGTCAGCCTCAGTGCTGTTTGCAGGTTTCTGTTAAAGGTCTAGTAGTCCCAGCCACCTAAACCACCAAGCCACTGTAGTTCTAAGCTGCAGGCTTGAAAAGCAACCCTAAACCCTAAACCCTAACCCCTAACCCCTAACCCCTAACCCCTAAACCCTAAACCCTAAGCCCCAAGGACCAGTTCGCCCGCCTGGACGCGAACAATGATGGCACGCTGACCCCCGAGGAGTTTGCGCAGCTGATGGGCCAGGTGGCGGACCCTGCAGCTTCCACTGTCCTGAAACCCTTTGGGGTTTAGGGTTTAGGGTTTAGGGTTTAGGGTTTCGGGTTTCGGGTTTCGGGTTTAGGCTTTGGTCCGTTTTGGCTATCGCCTTTGAAGGTCTTGTTGCGTGGGTGTGTTTGGGTGTTGTTAAACATTTTCTGGACAGTCACCCGAGCTCTCCAAACATCTCTGGGCCAAACGCGGTTTGAGACTCCAGAACGTGGGAAGGATTGAATGGGTTTAGGGTTTAGGGTTGAGGGTTGAGGGTTTAGGGGTTATGGGTTAGGGTTTGGGGTTTCTGGAAAAGACCCACTACAAGGATTCGCAAACAAGTTGACTTTGTATCTAGCGCTCAGACCATGAACTCTACATCCTGAAGGTGAGTCATAAGGGAAGAAGTCTTGCTTCGCTGGTCGTCAAAGTAAAGGAAAAGATAAGAGAGTTGAATGAACGGTTTAGGGTTTAGGGTTTAGGGTTTAGGGTTTAGGGTGTAAGGTTTAGGGTTTAGGGCATCGAAATCCCAAGCCTTTTTGAATGTGCTCACGCCTAAGAATAGAATTGTAAGGGCGCAATGAGCGAACCAATGTAGGGCGCACGACAATTTCATGAAAGGCGTGAGGGTAACACGAAGAGATTGAATGAACAAGTGAGTGAATTGAGCGATCGCATGAACTTCACGCACACGAAATGATTGAACGTATGAATTATCTGGGCCTTATAAGTACTACTTCATTATTGGCCCCTTTAATATGCTAATTATGTTCTCTTTCTTCTCCACCATTAAGGATTTCATGAACGGAAGGAAGTGACTGATTGGGCGAACAAAATGTTCTTAAGGGCTTTCGGCTAAACTCAAACGGAAACGTCAGAATTGTACTTTCGAGATTTTCGAGGCCCCTGGTGCGTACGCTGCCGACCCCTATGGGGCTGTCACCTACGGAGCTCCAGCGCCTGCCTACGGGGCCCCGGTCAGCTACGGAGCTCCGGTGCCTGCCACCACCGGCCCGGTGACCTACGCACCCGCCGACGCCTATGGAGCTCCGGCGCCTGCGCCGGTCACCTACGCGGCTCCAGCGCCTGGCACCGCCGACCCCGCCGGAGCTCCGGTCAGCTACGGTGCTCCAGTCAGCTACGGTGCTCCGGTCAGCTACGGTGCTCCGGCGCCTGCCCCGGTCACTTATGGAGCTCCTGCTGCTACCGCCCCGGTCACCTACGCCGCTCCAGCGCCTGGCACCACCAGCCCCTACGGAGCGCCTCAGTACACGTACGCCGCCGCTCCCGGGCAGTTGTCGGCCGCACCAACCTTTGTGCCAAGCGCAAGCTACCAGACCCCATATTCGTACCCGATGGCAGCACCAATGTCCGGCGGCAGTGTGATGGCCTCAGGCCAACCTGACCCGCGAACAGTTTGGTTAGGTTCGCTGCTGTTAGCTTTTTCCGCTAGTTTCCTCGAACTTCAACCCTCCAAGGACCTCTTTGCCCGCGTGGATGCGGATGGCAGTGGCAATATCTCGCCCGAGGAGTTTGCGAAGTACATGCAGATGCAGGGCCAGGCGGCGTTTGGTTCTACTGGTGCTTGTAGTGCCTCTGAGCCCTAGAACCGTTCCATCTCCAACTAATGCCCCGATACAATTCTGAACTCCAGACTTGAAGCTGACCCCCGAGATTAGGCCTGCTACTTAGTCTGCCACAAGCGCGAAGGGCGGGAGCACCAACTGCCCGGCCTGCGGCAACGTGTACTTGGACGACTCGCTGTTCTGCCGCAAGTGCGGCCGCAAGCGCGACTAGGTGGGGACCGCCGTTGGAATGCCTGGGAGTCCTGTGTGTTGTTGTCCTTGGTAACGTGCTCTCCCGCGAGGAGTTTGCAAAGTTCATGCAGATGCAGGGCCAGGTGGCAGCGTCTTAAGAAAAGAGTCTAAGTTAATTGAGGCCTTGTTCGTTACATAGTCCCTAAACCCTAAACCCTAAACCCTAAACCCTAAACGCTAAACCCTAAACCCTAAACCCTAAACCCTAAACCCTAAACCCTAAACCCTAAACCCTAAACCCTAAACCCTAAACCCTAAACCCTAAACCCTAAACCCTAAATTAGTAAGATAGAGTAGAGGCATGGCCAACTTTCTCAAGAGCACAAAGGGTCGGGGTCTTGGGGCTTTGGGGCTTAAAGGATCTTGCCTTGACATGGCAACCCGGGTGCCCAAGTTCTACTGGTACTTGTGGACCCCAAGCCCTAAACCCTAAACCCTAAACCCTAAACCCTAAACCCTAAACCCTAAACCCTAAACCCTAAACCCTAAACCCTAAACCCTAAACCCTAGGGCAAGTTGACATCCCGGGGTTGTGAGACTCTTAGCCTTCCATCCCCAAGAAGTTAAAACACCAAAGCCCGCATACCTGAAGAATTTTGACTCGAAATAGGGTTTAGGGTTTAGGGTTTAGGGTTTAGGGTTTAGGGTTTAGGGTTTGGGGTTTAGGGTTTAGGGTTTAGGGGCCTCCACGGATTAGGTGCCAGCGAGCCGCCCCACAATTGTGAGAGGGATACCCTAAGCCAGCAAGCCTTTGACAAAGCTGTCCAGAACGTCCTCAACAATGTACAGCCAGTGACAGGGATCAAAGACAGGGGAGTTGGGGAGGGAAGTCGCAGCCGTGCTAAGCTTGAGCTGCGTACGTCCGGGTTTTGATTTCCTGCAGCCCGGTCATCCCCGGAATTCCCTTGTACCGGTAAACTCTCAACCCTAAACTCTGAACCCTGAACAGCAAACCCGTTGTAGGTGGGGGGGGGTGCGTTGCGCACCTTGTCTTCTCGAGAGATTCCCCCATGATCCCTAATGCCACCATCCGGAACCTTCGGCCCCGGCAGCTGCCAGGGGTTTAGGGTTTAGGGTCGAGGGTCTAGGGTCTAGGCTTCCAGCACACCCGAAATCCCCCAAACCCTGCTCCTTGCTGGAAAGGCCTCGATGACGGCCCAACTCTCAGTGCAAACATGTTCCGTCCACGCAACTTGTGCGGTAGTTTTGGGATGTTGATGCACCCTTCTGCAAAGTCCAGTGGTTTGCCAGACATGGTTCGGAAACCCTAAACCCTAAGCCCTAAACCCTAAACCCTAAACCCTAATCCCTGGGGATTTCGGGGGCAGGGTCGAGGGTCGGATGTTCAGGACAGGGCCCCAACCTAACTTTTTGTTTAGGGTTTAGGGTTTTGGGGTGGCCCCCTGATGGTCATGGAGGATTCCGGGGCCACAGGGGCCTTGCGTGGCGCGCGCATGTTGATTCGTCAGGCACCCTTAGCCCGAAGACTCCAAACCCTAAACCCTACACCCAAAAAACCCTAAACCCTGCAACTCTAAACCCTACCCCAGGTTAGGTTTTTAAGAGTTTGATGGCGAAACGTGGGTCCATAACTCGAGTAGCATGCCACCTGCACTGTTTAGGGATCGTTTCTGACTGACCCTCTCTTTCCCTCTCTGTGGGCTTAGGGTTTAGGGTTTAAAATTTAAGGTCTGATTGACCCTCTCTCTCTCTCTCCCTCTCCCTCTCCCTCTCCCTCTCCCGCTCCCTCTCCCTCTCCGTCTCCGTCTCCCTCTCCCTCTCCCTCTCCCGCTCCCTCTCCCTCTCCGTCTCCGTCTGCATCTCCGTCTCCCTGGCCTTCTCCGTCTCCGTGCTCTCGCTCTCGCTCTCGCTCTCGCTCTCGCTCTCGCTCTCGCTCTCGCTCTCGCTCTCTCTCTCTCGCTCTCTCTCGCTCTCTCTCTCTCTCTGGGCCGCGATGCCGAGGGCACCCGCGGCAGAATTCCTTGATTGGAGCGTGTGCGCTGCCCGGATTCTTTGATAACAGCAGGTTGAGTTGATTCGTAGGGTTTAGGGTTTAAGGTTTAGGGTTTAGGGTTTAAGGTTTAGGGTTTAGGGTTTCAATGTGCGGGCTGGTGTCTGGGGCTCCATCAACCTGTACCTTAAGGGGCGGAGTTGTTTGAGCGTGGTGCCTTTTACTGGCACGACTTTCTTCCCCCGCTCCCGAAAAGCTATACCCCAAACCCGAACCCCCTAAACCCCTGAACCCCTGAACCCCTAAACCCCCCCTAAACCCCTAAACCCCCCCTAAACCCCTAAACCCCTAAACCCCTAAACCCCTAAACCCCTAAACCCCTAAACCCCTAAACCCCTAAACCCCTAAACCCCTAAACCCCTAAACCCCTAAACCCCTAAACCCCTAAACCCCTAAACCCCTAAACCCCTAAACCCCTAAACCCCTAAACCCCTAAACCCCTAAACCCCTAAACCCCTAAACCCCTAAACCCCCAAACCCCTAAACCCCTAAACCCCTAAACCATAAACCCGTAAACCCGTAAACCCGTTAAACCCCTAAACCTTAAAACCCTCAACCCTGAACCCTTAACCCTAGACCCTAAACCCCTAACCACTAGACCCTAAACCTTAAAACCCTCAACCCTAAGGCGCTCAGATTCTCCTGGCAGTGCCAAGAGTCCTTCGCAAACGCGACGAGGACGTGCTGGTGGGGGTGGGGGGGTGGTGGTGGTGCCCACTGTGCCTCAAGGTTTAGGGTTAAGGGTTAAGGGTTTAGGGTGTAGGGTTTAGGGCTATTCGGGCGAGCAGCCCCTAGACCGCAGTGTCGGAACCCTTCTGCGTCTCTGTTCTTCACCCATGTGTCACTCATCCGACTGTGAATGGAGGGAGAGAGAGGGAGAGACAGGGAGGGAGAGCCAGATAGAAGCAAGGTGTCGGCCTTCCCGCGCAAATCCCATAAGTGGCCCCGCGCAGGTTCCCATGTCTTCCGGATGATGACAACACTTGCATGGTCCCGTTTGCTGGGTCGGGGTCCTGCAGCAGAGGCAGTGCAGGTTTGAAATTCAGGTTGGAGGATGGCGGTCGAAGAGATCAATTGTCTAAGATGGCAGATGTTGACTAGATCGAGGTGCCCGCTGTGAGGATATGAAGAAAGTTCTGTGTCCGCGTTCCACTGGAGGCGATGTCTCGAATTAGGCGCAACATTTTCATCGAACACTAGAGAAGTTAGCAGGCACGCAGCACCTCTTCGACACAAAACGAAAAAGTTCCAACTCACATCCCAACAACATGCAGTTTTTGGATCTAGAGTAGAACGCCAGGGAGAACAAAGAGCCCTAGTCTTCAATGTTCACCGGATAGGTCCCTCCTGCCAGCGATTCAGGCAGTCCGTACTTGTCAAAGGCTTTAGAAGTTGAGATGACTAATTATAGCCCCACCTCCTCAAGCCAAACCCTGCGTTCGGAACTCGGAACCCTAAACCCCAAACCCCAAAACCCCAAACCCCAAACCCCAAACCCCAAACCCTAAACCCTAAACCAACCCCAAACCCCAGACCCCCAAACTACAAGGAGCGTACACGGAGTAAGTTTTATATGAAGTAGGGTTTAGGGTTTAGGGTTTAAGGTTTAGGGTTTGCGGTTTAGGGTTTAGGGTTTCTATTTCTGCTTTTGGTGAGTGTAAAAAAGGTTCCTTTATAATATTCGTGAGTGTATATACCTGGTGTCCCTTTGGGGGTACAAGAAATATATACCCTTCTTCTAATATGGGTTGGTGGTCTCTTTAAGTATGGTTTCTTGTTTCAAAGGGGCCATCCACTGGGGTTCTTATGAGGGTATCCAGGGGCTACATGAAGGTATTGAAGGTATAAGGGTAACAGATCCAGAGGCTACTGGTCTTTGTGAAGTAAGCTCTGTAAGCCCTACTTGGAGGTTCATGGCACTTAGTCACTAATTATAACTGTACTTATAACTGTACTTATAACCATATTGGGGCACTTAAGGGGCTTATAAGTGGGTTAGAAGTACTTAAGTACCATGAACCTCCAAGTGGAAACCTTCACTTGGTAGCCCAGTGTTTGTACCCTTTACCCTTTTGTTGGTGATGGGTTCCCTTGTAACGTAACCAGCCAAAGAAGGTACCCGTGTTTTTGATATCGTTGCGGGGCTGCGAAGTTTTGAAAATCCTAAACCCAATAAGCATTTTTAGGCCCTATAAGGTTTAGTTAGGGTACACCCTGATTCCACCCTTCACCCTAAACCCTAAAACCCTAGAACCCTAAGCCCTAAGCCCTACACCCTAAACCGCAAAACCCCACTTGAGGGCCCATAGTTTAAGGGACCATGCTGCCCCCGAAGGTATAAGAGGAGTATAGGTAAGCAGGGTTCATATTCCTTGCATCCCCAAAAGGGCACCCAAAACACACACTCACCAATATCAAGCAGGAGCCTTACATACACTCACCACAAGCACAGCAATAGGAACCCCTGCTTCATATGTCAGTGTCCTTATCTACTATTTGCTTCAGAACCCCAAAAGAATAGCACATGAGAACCCCTATATTGCCCTTAAGAAGGGTTTAGGGTTTAGGGTTTAGGGTTTAGGGTTTAGAAGGAAGATTTTTTTTTTGGGGGTTCTTAAGCAACTAGTAGTCGTGGTTGGGCCCTCTCTTCGGCTTGGGGTTTAGGGTTTAGGGTTTAGGGTTTAGAGTTTAGGGTTTAGGGTTTAGGGTTTAGGGAGAACCCCGAATCCGGAAGGCCCTGCTCCCTCATGCCCAAGGTCGCCGGTCCCAGTTTTTGCCCGGGCCTAGACAGGCGAGTGTCCTTCCGATGAGGGTTAGGTTTTAGGGTTGAGGGTTTTAGGGTTTAGGGTTTAGGGTTTAGGGTTTAGGGTTTAGGGTTTAGGGTTTAGGGTTTAGGGTTTAGGGTTTGGGGTTTACGGTTTTGGGCGCGTGTGTCTCGACTTGCCGCCTTCATGCACTGGTGAGGGGCTGCAGCCGCAAACTAATCCCTTCTGATTGATATGCGCCGCTGAGATCTCTGAAGGGATGATTCTCATGTTTGCGACTTCCTAAACCCTAAACCCTAAACCCTGAACCCTGAACCCTGAACCCTAAACCCTAAACCCTAAACCCTAAACCCTAAACCCTAAACCCGAACCCCTAACCCTGAATCTTGTGTGAGCGTCAAGGCAGTGGGCTTCGAAATGGATTGTTTGTGGTACGTGGTCCCCCCACCTTTTCGATTCATTTTGCATATACAAGCCTTCACGCAGGCAGAAAAAAACGGGGGCTTCTGCTGGCACCTCGCATCCTAGCCCTAAACCCTAAACCCTAAACCCTAAACCCTAAACCCTAAACCCTAAACCCTAAACCCTAAACCCTAAACCCTAAACCCTAAACCCTAAACCCTAAACCCTAAACCCTGAACCCTAAACCCTAAACCCTAAACCCTAAACCCTAAACCCTAAACCCTAGAAGCCCAACACCCAGCCTACCTGTTCTCAAAGCTGAAGTCAGGATGCGTCGCATTGCTTCACCCTTGAAAGCAACTGTTCCCTGCTAAGTGAGGCTTCTCAGCGCTTTTGTGTTTAGGGTTTAGGGTTTAGGTTTGGAAAGGTTTCTTCAAGGTTTGTGGTCTTCGGCTCGAGAAGAGAAGCCGCAGCCTGGACTGTGTAGACCTGACGTCCTACATTCAGCCGAACACCTAAGCAAAGCCCTCACAAAACCCAGGCGACATGATAACTCCTGTTAGTTCTTCAAACTTCCCACCAGGGGACCCGAGCACCTTTCAAATGAGAGGGTGAACCACGCACGTTTAACAAGCAGATCCTGGCCCCCCCCTCTCCCCAGACACCCCAAGGTCCCTGGTCCCCTTGCCCTCCTTTTGAATGATGCGCAATCAGCGAGCCCAACGGAGATATGGGGTTGACGATACCAGGGGTGCCCCTTCTATACCCCTAAATAGCTGCTGTAGTCAAGCCTGCGCTCAGGCGAGAGTGTGATTGGACCCAGAACGAAAGCCTGGGAGCTAGTCGAGAGCACTAGTATTGAAGAATTCGAGGGTGGAGCTGCAGCTTGAAAACCTTTTGCTGACGCTTTTGCTTTAGGGTTTAGGGTTTAGGGTTTAGGGTTTAGGGCTCTGTTCCCAGCAAATCCATGATACAGTGCCTGCTGCCACTGGTAAGCGTTTTGGCCCAAACGCGAGTCGTACGACCTTGCCGTGTGGAGGACTGCGCTGCTCAATCTTAACAAATTCGGATCCAGAGTAGGCGCTTGTTCCGTTTTGGGGCTTATACTGTTCATATGCACTACAACAATCTGTAATTTGTGTACATGATCTTGCTGTTTTGGTGGTTATGACCATGGATGTTTTGATGTTCAATTGCTTTCAGCTAAGCCCTTTTAAGCCAAAAGGTTTAGGGTTTAGGGTTTAGGGTTCTCAGTTACTCTTGGGTCTAGTTCAAGCTCGGAGCCAAAGCAACCAAGCGCACACCAGCACAGGCGGCATAGGTTGTGAGTTGTTTTCTTGTCGGGGGATGTTCGGGCCTTTTGGGGCTGGGGTTTGGGGTTTGGGGTTTGGGGTTTAGGGTTTAGGGTTTAGGGTTTAGGGTTTAGGGTTTAGGGTTTAGGGTTTAGGTGTGCAGACCGGAGTTTCGGGGTCGGACACATGGTCGCCGGTACTCACTGCAGGTGATGCTGGCAGGCGAAGCTGCAGCCCGAAATTCAAGGTTTAGGGTTTAGGGTTTAGGGTTTAGGGTTAGGGGTTTAGGGTTTAGGGTTTAGGGTTTACCCCAAACGTGGTAAAATAGGGTCCAGGCTTAGGCTTCGGATACGGGTGTTCACACGCGGGTGCTTCTGTAAACACTAAACCCCAAGCCCTAAACCCTAAGCCCTAAACCCCAAATCCTAAACCCTAAACCCTAAATCCTAAACCCGAAATCCTAAACCCTAAACCCTAAACCCTAAACCCTAAACCCTAAACCCCAAACCCCAAACCCCAAACCCTAAACCCTAAACGCTATAAAGTGAAAGTTTTCGCGTTCTCCACCGTCAGAGTTCCAGGACTGCTCTTCGCCCATTGAGATGGCCTCCATGGCCCGGAGCCCAGGTAGGGTTCAGGGTGTAGGGTTTAGGGTTTAGGGTTTAGGGTTTAGGGTTTAGGATTTAGGGTTTAGGGTTTAGGGTTTAGGGGTAGAGGCTTTCCGAGATTCATTCAGGGGCCAACCTAGGACCCAGGGTTTCGGGTTTAGGGGTAGAGGCTTTCCGAGGTTCATTCAGGGGCCAACCTAGGACCCAGGGTTTCGGGTTTAGGGGTAGAGGCTTTCCGAGGTTCATTCAGGGGCCAACCTAGGACCCAGGGTTTCGGGTTTAGGGTTTCGGGTTTAGGGGTAGAGGCTTTCCGAGGTTCATTCAGGGGCCAACCTAGGACCCAGGGTTTCGGGTTTAGGGTTTCGGGTTTAGGGTTTCGGGTTTCGGGTTTAGGGTTTGGGGTGCTTTGGGGGTGAGGGGGCCAGAACAAGGCTCAAGATTCGAACAGCGCATAGGGGTCGGAATAAGTACTACCAATGTTCCCTTATGGTCCCTATATTATTATACGAAATCAACCACCCAAAGCCCTGTCCTAATGATCAAGGCTCCTACAGTAGTCATTTGCGCTTGCTGCACCCACATCAAGACGGCACCTTCTCGCGTGTTGCGTTTTTAGGAGCATGCGCCTCGCACCCTCCAAAGATCTTGATTCCTCGCAAGAGAGCCGGAACCCTTCTTTAGGGTTTAGGGTTTGGGGTTTCGGGGTTTAGTGTTGAGGGGTTTGGGGTTTAGGGTTTGGGGTTTAGGGGCACCTCCAAGGACATGTTCACCAGCTTGGACGCAGATGGTAGTGGCAGCATCTCCCGCGACGAGTTTGCGAAGCTGATGCAGCAGATGCAGGGTCAGGAGCTGCGCTTCGGGTCCTTCGGGTGTCAGGGTTTAGGGTTTCAGGGGCTTCAGGGACACAAGTTGGGGTCCTTGCGCAGCACGTGCAACTCTACACATTCATCACCCGAGTTAGAGATCAGCAGGTGTCCATGGGCTGCGGCTGGGTGCTTTGTAAACTCCCAGATGACTACTGTAGGAGCCTTAAAGAATTTCAACAGGGTTTGAGGGGGTTACTGTACTAACCAGGCACAGTTATAAGACCCTCAAGTGCCCTAATATGGTTATAAGTAAGTACAGTCATAAGTAGAGTCATAATTAGTTACTAAGTACCATGAACCTTCAAGTAAGGGAATATGAATAGTGCTTAAGGGTTCAGGATGTTGGGAGTTGTGGCTTCAAGGACAGTTGGGCCCCGACATGGTCATAGCTGTGAAGCTCGGAGTTTCAGGAGCTGTTGTGAAGCTCTAGGTACAGCCAAGTCTTGCGGGAAGGAACTCCCCAACAAATAGGGTTTAGGGTTTAGGGTTTAGGGTTTGGCTGCCTCTGGAGCAGAACACCACCTGCCCGTCTTGCGGCAACGTGTACATGGACGACTCGCTGTTCTGCCGGAAGTGCGGCCAGAAGCGCGACCAGGTGCGGTCCCGAAACCCTAAACCCTAAACCCGAAACCCTAAACCCTAAACCCGAAAACCTAAACCCTAAACCCCAAACCCTAAACCCTAAACCCTAAACCCTAAACCCTAAACCCTAAACCCTAAACCCTAAACCCTAACCCTAAACGGACCGATGTGAAGCCTAAACCCTAAGCCCAATAGAGGGGGGAAGTGGGGGAACCCATAAAGCCTTAAAAGGTACCCCTTCTATACCCCTTATATAGCCCTTATGTGAAGCAGGGTTTATATGACTGTTCTTGGTGAGTGCATATATAAGGGTCCTTTTTAATATTGGTGAGTGTATATATTGGGTGTCCTTCTGGGGATACAAGAAATGCAAGCCCTTCTTCGATGTATGTGGTGGTGGAGAGGCTGCAGGCTTATGGGTGAGTTCAGGCTAAGGATTTCCTGGAAGAGTAGGGTTGTTCTGCACCCTAAACCCTAAACCCTAAACCCTAAACCGCGCTTGTAGCAAGTTCTGCCAGCTGGGCCAAATTTTCAGAGCAGGGGCTAAAAGCATCAAGCTTGAGACAGCAATTGGGGGCACCCCCCCCCAGCTCTGGGCCTTAGAGGGGTGAGGGATGATAGGGTAAGCTGTTGAGTTAAATGTGACTTGGGATTCTGAATCATGTGTTCGGGGCATAGGCCGCGGAGCTTGGGGGCTTAAGATTTTATGGATTTAGAGCTCCGAATTTTGGGTTTAGTGGCTTGCTTGGACATTTTGTATGTTTGGCCACCTCTTATACAGCCCGCCCGTTTTGTTGCTGCAGTTCCTGAATGAAGGGTTTGGGCTTGGCGATCGGGGGTGTGCAAAAGACATCGTACTTTCGAGGCCCCTGGCGCGTACACCGGCGCGCCGGGCGCCGTTCCCTACGGGGCTCCGGTCACGTACGGAGCACCGGTAACTGGCGCCAGCCCTTACGGAGCTCCGGTCAGCTACGGTGCTCCTGCACCTGCCACATATGGGGCTCCGGCTGGCTACGGAGCTCCGGTGACCTACGGAGCTCCGGCGCCTGCCACGGCCAGCCCGGTGACCTACGCGGCTCCGGCGCCTGCCAACTACGGAGCGCCAGCAACCAGCCCAGTCACCTACGCCGCCCCGGCGCCTGGCCCGGTGACTTACGCAGCCCCTGCCCCTGCCAATTACGGAGCTCCAGCAAGCAGCCCAGTCACCTACGCGGCTCCGGCGCCTGCCACCACCAGTCCGGTGACCTACGGAGCTCCTGCGCCTGCCACCTACGGCGCTCCAGCCCCGGTGACCTATGCGGCTCCGGCGCCTGGCCCGGCCACCTACGGTGCTCCAATGCCTGCCTACACAGCTCCGGCCGCCACAACCAGCCCTGTGACCTACACGGCTCCCGCAGCCACAACAACCCCGGTGACCTACACAACTCCGGCCGCCACCACAAGCCCCACCGCTGTGGCACCAGGCTCATCTCAAGCAATGGCCCCTATGTCATCATCGGCTGCAGTGGCGGCGCCGATCCAGAGCATGCCAGCGACCACCACTCCGGTCACAACCTACACAGCTCCAGCCGCCACTACTAGCCCGGTCACCTACACAGTGCCGGCTGCCACCACGGCGCCTGCCACTACCGGCCCGGTCACCTATGGAGCTCCGGTGCCTGCCACTACTAGCCCGGTGACCTACGGAGCTCCAGCGCCTGCCGCTTATGGAGCTCCGGTCTCCTACGGAGCTCCGGTGCCTGCCACCAGCCCGGTCGTCACCTACGCAGCTCCGGCGCCTGCCCCTGCCGGCCCGGTCACCTATGGAGCGCCAGCGCCTGCCACGAGCCCGGTCGTTCCATACGCAGCCCCGGCGCCTGCCACCTACGGGTCTCCGGTGCCGTTCTCAGATGAGTCATGGGTTCGAGGAATCATGGCAATGCAGCGGAAGAGAGTACTTGGGGGTTCATGGTACTTAGTAACTAAATATTACTGTACTTATAACTGTACTTATCACCATATTAGGGCACTTAAGGGGCTTATAAGGTGGGCTTAAAAGTACAGTGATAATTAGTTACTAAGTACCATGAACCTCCAAGTATACGTTGAAGCATGCAAGAGGTCGTAGTTGCAATGTGCCCGCAGATCAGTGGTCTGTGCCGTATCCTGGTGCCTTGGCCTAGGCCCCATACATGGCGCCATCCTCAGACCCGGACAAGTCAGTTTGATTGCTTGAACGCTTCATCCGTAAGCATACCCGAACCCTAATTTGGGATGGTTGAGAGTTCGGAGTTCAGATTCGGGGTTTTGAGGTCGTGGTGTCGACGCCACAGGGTGAGGCTTGTGAAGATCATGCCCCCTGATGAGTGGGGGCTTGAGACCTGATCTAGATTCATTCCAAAGGTTCAGAGGAATGGCAACCCTCAAAAAGATCCTTGAGCATGTCAGCTTCGGTTCTTTGGCATCATGATTTGCTGTGCAAGCTGCGGTCAGGCTTCAGTTGTGCTTCTTGAGTTCCCTGCCACCTACACACTAAGCCTTTTGAAGGGGTGGGGTTGGGTGTAGGGGGGTTGGGTGTAGCGGCAATTTCAAGGGCTTTCACTATTGCCGACCTGTGGGATCCCGCACGTGACTTGTCAACGCCCTGCGGCTCACTCCGCCATTTTGCATCGCAGAACCCGCCAAGGACCAATTCGCCCGCCTGGACGTGAACAATGATGGCACGCTCACCCGTGAGGAGTTCGCGAAGATGATGGGTCAGGTGGTGGACCCTAAGCCCTGAACCCGCAAGACCTGCTGGCTTTTTCCTTGATTGAAACTGTTTGCTATCTTCCAAAAGGTGGAAAGCTCAAGTGTAAGTCAGGGTCCTAGGATGTCAGAAACTGGTTTTGGACGAAGATCGGATGGAACCATGGCTTCTCAACACACCTGGAGGTTCATATTCATAGGGTGCACGGGTGAGGGAGGGGGTTTAAGCTTGAGAATTTCTGACAGGGCAGCAGTTCATCACTTCACCCTACAGGTGCAATTCTCGAGTCGTTTTTTTTTCCATTCGGCATGCACCTGCAAAGGTGCCCATGAGGTGCATGGGCGGGTAAGGGTTTAAGGTTGGGACCTCTGACAGAGTACAGGTGGTACAGTGGTACAATTCTTGGGTGTTTTTTTCGTCTAAGGTGGCACCCGGACCTGGCTCTTCCGTGCAGTACGCGCAACCACAGCCAGCTTATGGTTCCTCGGTGGCCATGCCAGCCCCAGCGCCAGGCCCAGCTCCAGCGCCATCGAACGCTGTGTACGCAGCCCCAGCCCCAGCGCCAGGCCCAGCTCCAGCGCCATCGAACGCTGTGTATGCAGCCCCAGCACCAGGCACAACGCCTGGCCCGGCACCGTCGAATGCTGTTTACGCAGCCCCAACACCGGCTCCTAGTCCAGCGCCATCGAACGCTGTGTACGCAGCCCCAGCACCAGGCAAAACTCCGGCTCCTGGCCCGGCACCATCGAACGCTGTGTACGCAGCACCTGCACCAGCGCCAGCCCCTACCCCAGCGCCATCGAACGCCGTTTACGCAGCACCTGCACCAGGCACAACGCCGGCCCCCGGCCCGGCACCGTCGAACGCTGTGTACGCAGCACCTGCACCAGGCACGACACCGGCCCCCGGCCCAGCGCCGTCGAACGCCGTGTACGCAGCACCTGCACCAGGCACCACACCGGCCCCTGGCCCAGCGCCGTCGAACGCTGTGTACGCAGCCCCAGCGCCAGGAACAACACCGGCACCAGCGCCGTCGAATGCTGTGTACGCCGCCCCAACGCCAGCACCGGCACCTGCACCAATGACCTACGCTGCCCCAGGTCCCGCGCCTGGCCAGCCCATGACCTATGCTGCTCCAGGTCCAGCGCAGCCCATGCCCTACGCTGCCCCATCCCCCGCACCGATGTATGCTCCGGCCACATACACGACCCCGGACATCCCACAATATGCGACACCAGCACCGGCCACCTACACTGTGGCACCGGGTTCATCTCAAGCAGTGGCCCCCATGACATCCTCGGCTGCAGTGGCAGCACCGATCCAGAGCATGCCTGCGACGACCAGCCCGGTCGCGAGCCCAGTCACTACCAGCCCGGTCACCTACACAGCCCCAGCTGCCACCACCACTCCGGTCACAACGTACACAGCTCCAGCCGCCACTACCAGCCCGGCAACTTACACAGTGCCGGCTGCGACCACCAGCCCTGCGGTGACCTATGCAGCTCCGGCACCTGCCACTACCGGCCCGGTCACCTATGGAGCTCCGGTGCCTGCCCCGGTGACGTACGGAGCTCCGGTCAGCTATGGTGCTCCGGCGCCAGCCACCTATGGGGCTCCGGCGCAGTCCTCAGTCCTGAGATGAGTCACGATTTCGCAGAATCGTGGGAATCGTGGTATGGTATAGGAGAAAGAGAGATAGAGAGATAGAGAGAAAGAGAGAAAGAGAGAAAGAGAGAAAGAGAGAAAGAGAGAAAGAGAGAAAGAGAGAAAGAGAGAAAGAGAGAAAGAGAGAAAGAGAGAAAGAGAGAAAGAGAGAAAGAGAGAAAGAGAGAAAAGAGAGAAAGAGAGAAAGAGAGAAAGAGAGAAAGAGAGAAAGAGAGAAAGAGAGAAAGAGAGAAAGAGAGAAAGAGAGAAAGAGAGAAAGACAGAAGGAGACAAAGAGAGAAAGAGAGAAAGGGAGAAAGGGAGAAAGAGAGAAAGAGAGAAAGAGAGAAAGAGAGAAAGAGAGAGAGAGAGAGCGCGAGAGCGAGACGGAGAGAGTTTCTGTTGAAACACAGATACGTGGTGAGTGTTATTTTTCTGCTGCTTCACAGATTGACCGAGGCTTCCTACATGGCGCCAACCCCAGACTGATCTTGCTTAACGCCTCATCCATAAATCTGCAATCGAGAGTTTGGATGTTTTGGGTTCAGGTTCGGTCGGGGCTTTGGTTTTGAAGTGGCTGCGTCGACGCCACAGGGTGGGGCTTGAGAGGATCATGCCATGGCACCCCTAAACCCTGAACCCTAAACCCTAAACCCTAAACCCTACACCCTAAACCCTAAACCCTAAACCTAGACTGTGGATTCCTCCTGTCAATGTTCGAAGGATTTTGCCAGGCTTCTGTTATGTAGGCCTTGAGTAGAGTCCCATGTCCCACTGCCACCTAGCCACCTGTAGCTTTTGCAGTTGCATAAGCTTTAAGCTTGCCCGGAGCAATGAGGCCGGAACTCCTCACTGAACGGTTTAGGGTTTAGGGTTTAGGGTTTAGGGTTTAGGGTTTAGGGTTTAGGGCTTAGGGTTTAGGAACTTGCCAGCGCCCTCCGGGTCACTCCGACGTGCTGCATCGCAGACAACCAACCCTCCAAGGACCAGTTCGCCCGCCTGGACACGAACAATGATGGCGGGCTAACCCCCGAAGAATTTGCGCAGCTCATGGGCCAGGCGGCGGACCCTGAGCCTTTGAACCCTAAAAACTGCACCTAAACCGCCTCTTGGCCTTTCCCTCACCTTCCCGCATATCGTCAAGCAGTTTAGGGTTTAGGGTTTAGGGTTTAGGGTTTAGGGTTAGGGATTAGGATTTAAAGTGTCGCCCCCGAACTCTCCAAGCATCCATAGGTTTTAAGCCTCCAAGTTTTTAGGGAATGTTTGGGTTCTCGGCGTCGCGTTTTGGGTGCCTTTCAACAGCACAGCATTTCCGCTTTAGGGTTCAGGGTTAGGGTTTAGGGGATTGAGGGTTTAGGCTGTGTTAGGACTCGTGGATTGTTTGCGGGGGGGGTGGTGGAGAGAGTGCGAAATTGAATTACAGAAAACCGCCGAGCATGGCAATTTCACACTCCTACTCCTGCAGCATGAGTCCTGAATTGGAGTGTTCACAGCCGTAAGACCTCATTCCTTATTCATTCTGGAGTGCAGAGCTTGTATTTTGGAGGCCCCCGGTGCGTACGCTGCCGACCCGTATGGGGCTCCAGTCAGCTATGGAGCTCCGGTCAGCTACGGTGCTCCGGCGCCTGTCACTTACGCGGCTCCGGCGCCTGGCGCTGCCGACCCCTACGCAGCTCCAGTCAGCTACGGTGCTCCGGTCAGCTACGGATCTCCAGTGCCTGCCGCAACCGCGCCCATCACCTATGCGGCTCCGGCGCCTGCCACCACCAGCCCAGTCACCTACGCGGCTCCGGCGCCTGGCACCGCCGACCCCTACGGAGCTCCGGTCAGCTACGGTGCTCCGGCGCCTGTCACCTACGCGGCTCCCGCTCCTGGCACTGCCGACCCCTACGGAGCTCCAGTCAGCTATGGTGCTAGCCCTTATGGAGCTCCGGTCAGCTATGGAGCTCCAGCCGCCACCGCACCGGTCACCTATGCGGCTCCCGCACCGTACGGCGCCCCGCAGTACCAGACCTCGTATGCGTACCCGGGCGGCAGCGCGAGGGCCTCAGGTCGACGGAAGAGCGATTTTTGGGGGTGCTTGTCGGGTTTTTTGTGCAGTTCGGGGCTTAGCTTCAACCCTCCAAGGACCTCTTTGCCCGCGTGGATGCAGATGGCAGTGGCAATATCTCGCCCGAGGAGTTTGCGAAGTACATGCAGATGCAGGGCCAGGCGGCAGCACCTTGCTGGGCTTTGGGTCCGCTTTGGGTGTCTTAAGAGTCCAAGGCAGGGTGCCAAGTTCTACTGGTGCTTGTAGCCCTAGAAGCATTCCATCTCCAACTAATGCCCCGATACCTGAACAATTCAGAACTCCAGACTCGACGCTGACTCCAGAGATAAGGCCTGCTACTTAGTCTGCCACAAGTATGAGAAATAGCAAAAGGACTACCCCCACAAGCCATCAAGCCTTTGGCAAAAAACCTTTCGCGAAGGGCGGGAGCACCAACTGCCCGGCTTGCGGCAACGTGTACTTGGACGACTCGCTGTTCTGCCGCAAGTGCGGCCGCAAGCGTGACTAGGTGGGGACCGCCGTTGGAATACCGGTGAGTCCTGTGTGTTGTTGTCCTTGGTAACGTGCTCGTAGCGGACCTCATGCTCTTCCCCCTGGTTCTTAGTAGGGAATGAGGGAATTCGGGCCCTATGTATACCCTTTAAGGGATTATAGAGGGCATTCCCTCATTCTTTACTAAGAGCCAGCCAGATTTTCCTGACTTGACATGTCGAAACTCATCTTCTGGTGCCAGGCCTTGATGCCGGTCGGACTCCCAGAGCCTCCTTTCTGTGCAGGGCACTGGGAGGTTCATGGTACCTGGGGGTTTAGGGTTTAGGGTTTAGGGACCCTAAACCCTAAACCCAACCCAGTTAGAAGCCGAACAAGGGTACTTCAGGGGCGAAACAGTCTTGTTCAGGGTAGGATGTCGACTTTTTGCCAACGGCCAACGGTTTAGGGACACGTTTTCAGCGCCAATGGACAGTCCTGACAGCTGCACATTGGGGTTTAGGGTTTAGGGTTTAGGGTTTGGGGTTTAAGGTTTAGGGTTTAAGGTTTAGGGTTTAGGGCTTACGGTTGGTGCCACTGTCCGAGATGCTGTGGTGCGCACACCTTCTCGAGGTGAGGCAGCTGAGGAAGCCAGGATCTCTTCGGCCTTGGCCTCTTCGCTTGAATTTAGGGTTTAGGGTTTAGGGTTTAGAACGCGTGCCAGGGGCATAGAACTTCGGGATTCTTTCACGGAGCTGAAGCGCTGCGTCGAGACCTCAGCCACGGGCACTTTGCTTTCATAAATTCTAGCATCCTGCCCAGTCTCCCACCACAGCCATGCGCTTCTCCCTGGCCAACGTTTCGTGAACCAAAAAATTGCGCAACCGACTTTTGGCAAAGCATGACGCCCCACAAGTTGGCCAGATCCTTTTTCTCCCTTCTGCGGTGTCTCAGCCTGGAGTTTCAAGCCTCAGTTGCAGGAGTCTGTAACCAAAGAACTAGGGTTTTGGGTTTAGGGTTTAGGGTTTAGGGTTTAGGAATTAGGATTTAGAGTTTAGGGTTTAGTTTAGGGGTTAGGGTTGAGGGGTTAGGGTTTTAGGTTTAGGGCTTAGGGTCGGATGCCGCCAGTGCTCCCCCTCTCCTCTGACCGAAGTCCTCCTTCCCTCCTTGACGCCCGAGGCGCGAGTTTTGTTTCTTCTGTCATCGACAAGAGGGGCCCGTGCAGCCGCAAACGCGACGAGGTGGAGCGGTTGGGCCTATGGAGGGCTTAGGGTTTAGTGTTTAGGGTTTAGGGTTTGGGGTTTGGGGTTTAAGAGGGCTTAAGGGCGTTTCCTGCAGCACCATGGCCCGAGGTCAAAACGTCCAAGGCCTCCCAAGGTTAGGAGATCCCGCTGGTCTCAATGGCACAGGAAAATGCCCAAGGGGGCATGGGGTTTGGAGGGTTTAGCGGGCGTCATAGGGTTCATGGAGCTTTCTAGGGTTGATGGGTGATAGGGTTCAGGGTTAGGAGGGAGGAGGGAGCCAGGGGAGCTCCAATCACAGAGAGAGAGAGAGAGAGAGAGAGAGAGAGAGAGAGAGAGAGAGGGAGAGAGGGAGAGGGAGAGGGAGAGGGAGAGGGAGAGGGAGAGGAGAGGGGAGGGAGAGAGGGGAGAGGGAGAGGAGAGGGGGGAGAGGGAGAGAGGGAGAGGGAGAGGAGAGGGAGGGGAGAGGGAGAGGGAGAGGGAGAGGGAGAGGGAGAGGGAGAGGTATTTCCCAAAAGCGGGGGTGCCCTCAAGTGTTGTTTCTCGAATGGTCTAATCCCTGTGTAGGAACCCCCTCCGTCCGCCCCCGGGAATAGTCCCTACTAACAGCCGGAACGCCGATACCACAACCAGAAGCCCTATACTGCAACCAGAAACTGGACCCTACTACAACTGAGCAGCTATATGCACAAAAAGGGTCCCTATTGCAACTGGAACGTTCTTCTTTGTTTAGTATAGGGTTGTGTGAGCATGATTCCGTAGCTTTTCGTATTGTGCCCAGAGTGTGTTCATAGTGTTCACATCGCGCATTCAATTGTAACAAAAGCACGAATTAAATAAGCGATTGAACGAAACAGATGATGCACGTGAATTCTCTTCGCAGGACAAGAGAATAAGGGGTGAACAACAAAGCGAAAGGAATCATTCACGAAGTTATGCATTAAATTTTGCTATTATAAGAGTGTATTTATATTGTGCATCCAAGGGTGTGATGAACGTGTGCAAAAAAAGCCCAGGAAAGACTCATTAACAGCGGTCGTAAAAACCTCTTCATTTTGCATATGAAGTTGTAAGGAACGAAGAGACGCACGAATTTAACATGAAACTTGGGTTTTTTCCCCTTTTATTCTATTACTATGATGATTGTCGCGCGCAAGTTTACATGGTAATGGGTCTGCTAGAGCCTTGTATAGCATTGTCGAATGATTAGCAGGGTCTTCTAGGGCATCCTTACAATTCTTAGGAGGTTTTTGGGGCGTCCTTACACGTTCTACGAGATCGTTTAAGGCATCCATACACGTTCTACGAGATCTTTTAGGTCATCCGTAAAAGGTTTACGGAGCTGACAAAGCCCTTCAAGTATTAAATTTGGGAATCACTGGTTTGAAGCTTTCAGGGTAGTCAACACTCAGGAATTACAGGTTTGAAGCATTCCGCGTAGTAAAACTTTCGGGTTTTGCACACGTTTCAAGCCTTTGGGGTAGTACACTGTTGGGTTTTACTGTTAAACTTTCGGGATTTGCCGGTTTGAAACCTTTGGGGTAATAAACTGTCGGGTTTTACAAGTTTGAAGCTTTCGGGGTAGTACAGCGTTTGGTCTACTGCTTAAAGTCAAACCTTCAAGAACATAGAACCTCTTCAGTGTTCGTGTTTAGTTGGCTCATCATGAAGATTTAGTAGATCGGAGCATCCGGGCGAAGAACGGTACCTACTGCAACTTATTGTTTCTAAAAATGAATGTGTTTCCTTAAAGGTTCACCATCAGATTGCAAACCATGCAAAATTTTAAGCTTGTTGGCTGGTTGTGATATGGTGGTTTCGGGTCTTGCACAAATCCAGGCCCAGTTGCAGTATAGGGCTTCTGGTTGCGGTATCGAAATCTGGTTGTAGTAGGGACTAGTCGCCTCCCCCCCCCCTCCCCCCCTCATTGTCGGAACCCGCACATTGCTCAAGCATCGCCAAAGTTACGAAACCCTAAACCCTAAGATGCTGTTTAGGCCTTGAGGGTAGACTCGTCACCCGTGCCGCGCAGGCCTGGCTGCCAGTCGCAGCCTCGGAGAATGGCTTGTTTAGGGTTTAGGGTTTAGGGTTTAGGGTTTAGGGTTTAGGGTTTAGGGTTTAGGGTTTAGGGTTAGGGTTTAGGGTTTAGGGTTTAGGGTTTAGGGTTTAGGGTTCAGTTCAAGAGAAAGTGATATTGACGGCTCTGATAGAACACCCACCCACCCAGAGAATCCCACAACATTGAGAAAATTCAAGTATTACTCAACTCATACAACAAAGTTCTGCAGCTTCAAGTTGCTCTGTCGTTTGAGCTGCATCTTTCAGATCTAAGTTTTAACTCCCAGCCTTAAGACTAAAGGAGGGATTTAGGGGTTATTTAGGGGCTACCTTATACTTAGGTATACTAGATAGGGGTTATATAGGGGAATAGCGGAATAAGATTAAGGGTCCCTTCGAAGGGGGGTCCTTCTTTATACCCCTCAAGAACCCTTCACCCGCGCCTGCTCTCTGAAAGCCCAGGGTGCTTCCCAGTTTTCCTCTGAGCCAGGGCGCCTAGGCAGGTGTAGCTTACAGAGACTGTTAAGGTTTTGTGCGTCCGCATGTCGCCTTAACACAGACAGGCGAGGGGACCTGCGGGACCGGCAGACCGCAAACTCAGCACTGATGATGGTTGCTTGTTCTTTGTTTTTGGGGGTGCCGCTGTTTAGGGTACATGAGGCTCCGTAGTGTAATGGGCACCCAAGAAGGGGGTAAACCTGGGGTTTGGGGTTTAGGGTTTAGCATTCTTTCTGCTCTTGCCGGGACTGCTTGCGGCGCGCTGTCTCCCGCCTATTTCGATTCATTTTGCATATGCAAGCCTTCACGCCCACGCAGAAAAACCGGCCTCCTTTCTCTTTGATTGTCTTGTAATTCCCACCCGAGACGCCTTTTTCGTGCGGTTGCTTCAAAGCCCCAAGCCCTGCAGTTCAGAGACCCTCAACCCAAGAAAGCCCGAAACCAGCCGGCCCTCCCCGCGGATGTGAAGCTTTCGGTGCTTTCATCCTTTGGGGTTTGTTTAGGTTGATCAGGGCTTTCGGGGCTTCCAGAGGTTAAGGGTTTATGGTTAAGGGTTAAGGGTTAAGGGTTTGGGGAGTAGGGTGTAGGGCAGCTCAGGATCAAGTTTGGACAAGCCTTTTTGTGGTCACTGGAGTCGGCAGGTTCATGGGTACTTCTAACCCCTATTCTAAATCTACTTCTAACCTACTCAGGGGACTTGGGGGGGCTTAGAGGTACAGCTATAACTGGGGCTACAGGTGCCCTGAACCTCCAAGCAGGAGGCGAGAAGGGCTGGTCGGGCTTGTGGCGGACGAGGGTTCGGGCGGGCGGAGAGGGGAGGGCGCCCAAAAAAAACAGCACCCAGTTCGGGTCGCACAAACCAAAAAGACTGGGCCTCGGGCGCCTGGAGCTCCCAGAAATGGCACAGGAAAGGCTAGGAACAGAAAGTTTCTGAACGCTGCCCCTCGCAGCTAACCTCTGCCCCAAAAGTGCCCTTTAGGGTTTCGGGTTTAGGGTTTAGGGTTTGGGGTTTAGGGTTTAGGGTTTAGGGTTTAGGGTGTAGGAAGAGCACCGGTGTTGTGCGGGTAAGCGCTTTGGCCCAAACGCGAGTCGTGCCGCTGCTGCGTGGAGGACTGCCGTGCTCATCTCGGAGGTTCATGGTACTTAGTAACTAATTATAACTGTACTTATAACTGTACTTATAACCATCTTAGGGCACTTGAGGGGCTTATAAGTGGGCTTACAAGTACAGTTATCATTGGTTAAGAAGTACCATGAACCTCCATTGGTTAGGAAGTACCATGAACCTCCAACTATCATGGGTTCCCCAACTAACCCCCCCTCTACACTACCCCCCCTAGGTTACCCCATATTTAAGGCTATTTACGGATAATTAATACTGGCAAAGTTTCCCAGGACCCATCGAAGACATGGCTTCCATGGCCGGGGACCCACGTGGGGCGGGCTTTCAAGGGTTCATTCAGGGGGCGAACTAGGGTTTGGGGTTTAGGGTTTAGGGTTTAGGGTTTAGGGTTTGGGGTTTAGGGTTTAGGGTTTCGGGGTTAGGGTTTAGGGTTTCGGGGTTCGGGTTTAGGGTTTAGCGTTTAGGGTTTATAGGGTAAGATCTTGGATTCGCCGATCCTGGCCCCTCCCTCCCCCCCCCCCTCCCCCGAACTGGGCAGACCGACGAGCCACAGCCAACAACCGAAGGGGGGGTTTCTAGGGTTAATAGGGGTACTAGGGTTTAACAGGGTTTGCAGGGTGTATAGGATTTAAAAGGTTCATAGGGGTTTATAGGGTTTTATAGGCTTGTCGGGTTTAGGGTTTAGGCAGGTTAGACGGTCCCTGTACCTTCATGTTTCGTTAAAAGCCCTTGGGTTTTTGTAGGTTTTTGAGGGGACTATGACGAGCCATATTCAGGGGCCAAGGAACTACCCCTAAGAAACAAAGAATCCTGCGTGGCGACATGGTGCACGTAACATTGAACGACTCCGATCTGTATGTAGCCAGCCCCGTGTCTCATCTTGACAGCAAACACCTCCCGGACATATGGGGGGTTACGAAATAGGGGGACCCCTAACATAGGCCCCCAAATAGTAGGATTCCCTTATGATAAGAACCTCAATAAGGTACCCCCTAATGTCGGAAACCCCCCATATACATGAGAATATCTTTAGATGGTTGGCGTACTCAAGCTCTTCATTGTTCGAGTTGCCAGAACAGGACCCGGGTCCGGAACCCACACCACTCTCTGCACCCTGGAACCTCCTCTAAGGACATGTTTGCTCGCCTGGATGCGGATGGTAGCGGCAGCATCTCCCGCGACGAGTTTGCGAAGCTCATGCAGCAGATGCAGGGCCAGGTGGGGTCGTTTCGGCTGTGGGGTGTGTCTGCAGTGGCCAGGTAGGGGGTCCCTTGCGCAGCACGTGCAACTCTACACATTTATTTCGCCCCCTACAAGCGGGTAGGTTAAGTCGTATCTTCTTGTGTAAAGTCGTATCTCGGGCGCGTGCACACTGGGCATTCGCGAATTCCAAGCTTGGTCAGAACCCACTTGCACCCCCAAGCAGAAATCTCATTCACGCTGACAAAAACGTGCTCCCCTCCCAGGCGTCCAGAACATGCGCGTGCGGCGCGTGCACACTGGGGTAAAGGCTTCAACATATGTCTCTGTGATGCGACTTTACGCGGGATGATGTGACTTCGTTCGCAGCCGTGTGTCACTGGGGAGATGTGACTTCACACGCGAAGATGTGAGTTAACCTCCCCGCTTGAAGCTCCAGACCAGCAGGTGTCTGTGTGGGCTGTGGCCACGGCTTTGTATGAAGGGTTCGGGGTCTTGAGTGTAAACCCTAAACCCCAAACCCCAAACCCCAAACCCTAAACCCCAAACCCTAAGCCTCCTTGAAGGGTGTGATGAGCACCAACTGCCCGGCTTGCGGCAACACATACATGGACGACTCGCTGTTCTGCCGGAAGTGCGGGCACAAGCGCGAGGCAGGGTTCAGGGTTGAGTAGAGGGTTTAGGGTTTGGGGTTTAGAGTTTAGGGTTTCGGGTTTAGGGCTTAGGGTTTAGGGTTAAGGGTCTAGGGTTTAGAATTTAGGGTTTAGGGTTTAGGGGTGAGTGTGGACTTGTAGTGTTTATGTCGGAGTTTAGGGGGGGGTTTAGGATGTAGGGTTTAGGGTTTGGGTTAGGGATGAGCAGCCGAGCCAAATTGTTCTAAACATCCAGGTCGGTGGTTTTTGGGTCGAGTCATGGGGTTTGGGGCTTGAGATGCATGTTTAGGTTCCCTAAACCCTAAACCCTAAACCCTAAACCCTAAACCCTAAACCCTAAACCCCAAACCCTAAACCCTAAACCCTAAACCCTAAACCCTAAACCCTAAGCCCTAAACCCTAAACCCTAAACCCTGAACCCTAAACCCTAAACCCTACATGTTTAGGTTCGGATTTTGGAGTGCACACAGGTGGAGTGTGGGCTGCGCTTGGCCCAGTGGTAGAATTGACAACTATTGGTTGTGTGTTCGGAGTGCCCCGCATACTTGTGTGCACAGGGTGGCCAGGGAAAGGGTTTGGGTTTGGGTTTGGCGCTTGAAGTAGGCGTGTAAAATGACGTTCCAGCAGAGAGCTTCGTGTTTTCGAGGTTTCTGGTGCGCCGGGCACCGTCCCCTACGGGGCGCCAGTCAGCTACGGAGCTCCGGCGCCTGGCACCACTGGCCCTTACGGAGCTCCAGTTAGCTATGGTGCTCCAGCGCCTGCCTACGGAGCGCCTGTCGCTTATGGTGCTCCGACTCCCAGCGCCACTGCCCCCTATGGCGCGCCGGTCAACTATGGAGCTCCGGCGCCTGGCACCACTGCCCCCTACGGAGCTCCTGCCACCACCGGCCCGGTAACCTACGCAGCTCCCGCACCTGCCACCTTTTCAGCTCCCATCACTGCGCCAGTCACGTATGCGGCTCCTGCGCCTGGTACTACTGCGCCCTATGGAGCTCCAGCACCTGCTACTGTTGCGCCGGTCAGCACCACCAGCCCATACGGAGCTCCCGTGCCTGCCACTGCCACCACCAGCCCGGCAACCTATGCACCGGTCACCTACGGAGCTCCGGCGCCTGCCACCGCTGGCCCTCTAACCTATGCACCCACCACCACCGGTCCGGCCACATACTCGGCACCTGGCACCACCACTTACGGAGCTCCGGTGCCTGCCTACTCAGCTCCGGCAGCCACGACCAGCCCGGTGACCTACACAGCTCCGGCAGCCACAACCAGCCCGGTGACCTACACGGCTCCAGCAGCCACCACCAGCCCGGTGACCTACACAGCTCCAGCAGCCACCACCAGCCCGGTCACCGTTCCAGCTACTACCAGCCCAGTCACCTACGCAACTCCGGCCGTTACTACGAGCCCAACAGCTCCGGCCGCCACGACAAGCCCGGTCACCTACACAGCTCCAGGCGGGAGTTCAGTCGCCTACACAGCTCCGGCTGCAACTACAGATCCGATGCCTGCTATTACCAGTCCTGCGACTTACACAGCTCCAGCCGCCACTACCAGCCCAGTCACCTACACAGTGCCGCCTGCCACCACGGTGCCTTCCACCACCAGCCCGATCACCTATGGAGCTCCGGTGCCTGCCCCTGCCGGTCCAGTGACGTATGGAGCTCCGGTGCCTGCCGCTGGCCCGGTCACCTACGGAGCCCCGGCGCCTGCCAACTACGCAGCTCCGGCAACCAGCCCAGTCACTTACGCAGCTCCAGCGCCTGGCACTGCTGTCCCTTACGGAGCTCCGGCGCCTGCCACTAGCCCGGTCGTTCCCTACGGAGCTCCAGCGCCTGCAACCTACGCGGCTCCGGCGCAGTCCTCAGATGAATCGTTGCCCCGTGAGTTCGAGCCATTCCAAGGAATCTTGAGCGAGGGAGGTTTGAACCAGTCGCGCATGTTTTACAGCTCTTGTGTAGCCAACTGTGAGGTGTAACATCGCCTTCTCTCCGCGTGGTGTTTTCTTCGGGGTGCGTATATGCAGAGGAGGTGAGGAGTGCGCATAGATCCGCAGGAGTGATGGTCACGGAGCCGATCTTGCAAACGACGACGTGTAGAAATCCCTAAACGGGCCTTGCGTCGGGATCTGGGGCTTGCAATTCTACAAATTCAGTGGCCCCTTTCCGGTTTTCGTGCAGTGAACAGACTTGTCTCCTCGCAAGCGCCTTGGCGCACGTATTGTGAACAGACGAAGAGGCAGATTTCTGACACATCAACTTGAATTGCACCAAGTTCACCTTACAATAGCGAGGGTGGCAAGGTAAATTTCTTGAACGTTCGTTTTACTGCGCAGGTTCATGTAGGTTGAAGCCATGAAAATAGACTCCGCGCAGGCTATTCCAGGCTATTCCAGGCTATTCCAGGCTATTCCACTAGGTGGGCAGGCATCCAAGCCATGTTCTGGGCTGAGCTTTGGGATAATTTTTAGTTTCCCTTCTTTCCTTATAAGGGAACTTATTCATAAATAACTTTCAAAGGGTTTAAAGCACAACCCAGTGTTAAAAAACTTGAGAACAGTGAACGTAACAAAAACAACTTGCAGCCTGTGCTTCACAGATTCGCTGAGGCTCCATTCATGGCGCCCTCCTCAGACTGGACGGGTCACCCACCCTAAACCCTAAACCCTAAACCACTGTATCCCCGAACCCGAATTGGGGTGGAGGTTCAGGACTGTGGTTGGCTGTGAAGTGGCTGTGTCGAGGCCGATGTCTTCAAAAACGCGGGGGTGTCAGAACTTGTAGGATACATCGGGCAGTCAATCTGCCTTAGAATCTAGACTCCTTCCATAAGGTTTTCCGGGGGGGTGGTGGGGGGCGGGGGAATCGCAAGCTTCGAAAGTTACTCCTTGAGCATGCCAGATGGTGTCATGACTCGCAGTGCCAGGTGCAGCCAGGCTTCTGTTGCACACCCATAGTCCTCCCATGTCCACCTATCCACTAAGGCACGAACCTCGTAGGCTGAAAGCTCGCAAGGCTTGTAAGCACAAGGCCAGAGCAATCACGCCGGATTTCGTCTACTCTTGCCAACGCCCTGTGGTTCACTCCAGAACTTCAACCCTCCAAGGACCAATTCGCCCGACTGGACGTGAACAACGATGGCACGCTCACCCGTGAGGAGTTCGCGAAAATGATGGGTCAGGCGACGGACCCTGAGCCCTGAACCGGCTAGCCCCTGCTGTTTTTTTGTTTAAAATCATTTTTTCTTTGTGGCTTCCTTGCGGCCTCCACTTTTTCGCTCTATGCCTAGGAGCTCGGGACCCCCAGGCGGCATGCTTGCGGAAAACTGCTCCGGATTCCGCCCTACTGGGAGGTTCATGGGTGCTTATATCCCCTATTATAAATCTACTTGTAAGGGCTTGGGGGGCTTATAAGTACAGACTGGGTTATAAGTACCCTGAACCTCCAAGTAAAGGAAGGACTCAAAACCTTGGCTTTGTTTGGCCTTTTTGGCGTCTTGGCTTCTTGGCTTCTTGGCTTCCGCAGTGTTGCTCATTGAAATAACGCAGACATTGTAGACCAACTGAAGGTGTCAAAACCGACAACAAGTACAGCACACCTACTGCATTGGCTACATCGCTGCAACATGCCACTACAAAGCGTGCACACAAGAATTGGCGCGCCATTGTTGACCATCAAATTTTTGTCAACTTGTCAAAGGAATTATGAATTGCAATCAACAGCATACGAATTCTTTCGTCATGCGTGCGTTCTTTCTTGCAAAAAGAGGGCTGCGCCCCCCGACCCTCGCGGTTACGATCCGTGCAAGCTTGCTGTAGGCGACATCGCGTGTGAATGAGGTTTTCTAAACCCTAAACCCTAAACCCTAAACCCTAAACCCTAAACCCTAAACCCTAAACCCTAAACCCTAAACCCTAAACCCTAAGCTCTAAGCCCTAAGCCCTGAGCCCTAAGCCCTAAACCCTAAACCCTAAACCTTAAACCCTAAGCCCTAAACCCTAAACCCAGCATCCGAGACATGAAAGTGCGAAGGCAGCCCATCGAGGATCCCGGCCCAAGCTTCAAAACGCGCACGGGACGTGGGCGGGAGCACGATTTGGCACCCCGAGACCATTCCAAAGCCACTTCCTTCGTACCCTAAACCCCTAACCCTAATCCCTATAAACCCTAAACCCTAAACCCTACCCCCCTAACCCTAAACCCTATAAAATCCCATAGGCTAACCAGGTTACTGGACAACTAAGCTTCATGAGCACCCAAAACACCTCACGAGGCGGACCCAGGGGATCTTTACTCGCTTGTGACTTCTGTGGCTCGCTTGTGACAGACATTTTCATGCTTTCTCGCTTGTGACTTTGTTTTTTTGGGCCGTCTCGCTTGTGACCTTGTCCTTGCTCACAGCCGAAAACCCCTGCGCAGGGCTCTAAAAATCGCTTCACTTGCTTGTGCCCTGTTTGTCGAAACCTAAGCTCTGCACCCGAAACCCTAAACCCGAAACTCACACAGCGAAGCTGTACACCTCAAACCCTCACCCTAGACCCTAAACAAATTCTAAACCCTGCACGCCCACCCCCCCACTGCTGTCTGAGTGGATATGGTTTGATGCAATGCGTCTTCTCCACACACCCCCTCCTACCCCCGTCCCCGCCTCAGTAAATATGGTCGTAATGCACCGTGCTGGTGAAACCACGTTATCATCCGCCCCTGCTGCGGTTGCCCTTGTGAAGCCACGTTATGATCAACCCCCCTGCCAGCCCGGCCAGCCCTTCCCAGCCAACCCCCCGCCTCAGTGGATTTTCAGTTGTGATGCACTGCACGCGAAACCACGTTTATTGTGGGCTGCGCGATGTTTTTTTCTGCTTTCTGCTCGCACACACCTGCAAAGGTGGCACCTGGACCTGGCTCGTCCGTGCAGTACGCGCAGCCACAGCCAGCTGCTTATGGTTCCTCGGTGGCCATGCCGGCCCCGGGTCCCTCAGTGGCTATGCCGGCCCCTGCTCCCTCACCATACGCAGCCCCAACGCCAGGCCCAGCTCCAGCGCCGTCAAATGCTGTGTACGCAGCCCCAGCGCCAGGCACGACACCGGGCCCGGCACCGTCGAATGCTGTGTACGCAGCCCCTGCACCAGGCACAACGCCTGGCCCGGCACCGTCCAATGCTATTTACGCAGCCCCAACACCGGCGCCGAGCCCGGCGCCATCGAACGCTGTGTACGCAGCACCTGCACCGGCCCCCGGCCCAGCGCCATCGAACGCTGTGTACGCAGCACCTGCACCAGGCACAACACCGGCCCCTGCCCCGACGCCATCGAACGCTGTGTACGCAGCCCCAGCACCAGGCACAACACCAGCCCCTGGCCCAGCGCCATCGAACGCTGTTTACGCGGCCCCTGCACCAGGCACAACGCCGACCCCTGGCCCAGCGCCGTCCAACGCCGTGTACGCAGCCCCAGCACCAGGCACAACACCGGCCCCTGGCCCAGCGCCGTCGAACGCGGTGTACGCAGCACCGGCACCAGGCACAACACCGGCCCCTGGCCCAGCTCCGTCGAACGCTGTGTACGCAGCCCCAGCGCCAGGAACAACACCGGCACCAGCGCCGTCGAATGCTGTGTACGCCGCCCCAACGCCAGCACCGGCACCTGCGCCAATGACCTATGCTGCCCCAGGTCCCGCACCTGGCCAGCCCATGACCTATGCTGCTCCCGGTCCAGCGCAGCCCATGCCCTACGCTGCCCCATCCCCCGCACCGATGTATGCTCCGGCCACGTACACGACCCAGAGCATCCCACAGTATGCAACACCCGCACCAGCTACCTACACTGTGGCACCAGGTTCATCTCAAGCAGTGGCCCCCATGACATCCTCGGCTGCAGTGGCGGCACCGATCCAGAGCATGCCTGCAACAACCAGCCCGGTCGCGAGCCCAGTCACGACCAGCCCGGTCACCTACACAGCTCCGGCCGCCACGACGACCCCGGTCACCACCTACACAGCTCCAGCTGCGACTACCAGCCCGGTCACCTACACAGCTCCGGCCGCCACTACCAGCCCGGTGACTTACACAGCGCCCGCAGCCACTACCAGCCCGGCCACATACACAATGCCAGCTGCCACCACTAGCCCTGCGGTGACCTACGGAGCTCCAGTGCCTGCCACCACCAGCCCGGTCACCTATGGAGCTCCGGTGCCTGTCTCTACTGGGCCAGTGACCTACGGAGCCCCGGTGCCTGCCACTACCGGCCCGGTGACCTACGGAGCCCCGGCTCCGGCGCCAGCCACCTATGCCGCTCCGGTGCAGTCCTCAGATCATGAGATGAGCCATGAGTTCGCAGATTCGAGGGAATCTTGGCAAGAGAGACGGGGAGGGAGGGAGGGAGGGAGAGAGGGAGAGAGAGAGGGTGAGAGAGAGAGAGAGAGAGAGAGAGAGAGCAATTATCTGTTAAAACATCGAGCCGTTACAAATCCAGTGTGCCGCAGATCTGTGTGGTGAGTGTCGTAGCTTTGTGCTTCGCAGCTTCGCCGAGGCTCCATCTCCATACATGGTGCCATCCTCAGACTGGACAGGTCGCCCCGATTGCTTATAAACCCTCCCTCCTCCTCCTCCTCCGCCTCCTCCCATCATCATCATCATCAGCATCATCAGCATCATCATCTATCACCCCGAGCCCGGAACACCACAATCAAGGTGGCAGAGTTTGGGGCCAGGTTCAGGACTGTGCTTCTTTGAATTCGTTGCGTCGACGCCGCCGAAGAGTGGGGGCATGAGACCTGTAGGACACGTCGGGCAGTCAACCTGTCATAGAATCTTTCCGCAAGAACCTTTAGGGTTTAGGGTTTAGGGTTTAGGGGATCGCGCCAAGATGCGTGCCAGCTTGGATTGTTTGGTGTCATGACTCGCAATGCCGGGTGCAGCTAGGCTTCTGTTGCACGCTTGAGTAGTCCATCCTAACCACTAGCTACAAGCTGTAAGCTTGAAAGCACAAGGCCAGAACAATCAAGCCGGATTTCGTCTACTCTTACCAAAACCCTGTACATTCTGCATCACAGAACCTCAGCCCTCCAAGGACCAATTCGCCCGCCTGGACGTGAACAATGATGGCACGCTAACCCCCGAGGAGTTTGCGCAGCTGATGGGCCAGGCGGCGGACCCTCAGCCCTGAACCCGAAACTGCCCTACATCGCTGCTGGCCTTTCCCTTGCTCTGTGGCATTTGAAGGCCTTCCCGCATGCCATCAAGGGTGCATTCGGGTTTAAAGCAGAATCTGGACGGTCACCCGAGCTCAGTTCGGTGGGATAGCGCATGCTGATGCCCTTGTCAGCGATACAAAGGCATCCATGATACGTGCTGTAAGCCCCTGCTTGATTCGGTGTTTTGTGCTCTTCAAAGGCGTTGACAACCTGTTGTCGATACCATTGTTCTCAAAACATCTCAGCCGGAAGCTTTCGGCCTAACGCCTTAGGTTTTAAGCCTCCAGGTTTTAGGTTCGGGGCTCTCAAAGGGGTGGGGTGCGGGGCGGGTAGGAGCAGGGCAGTTTGACAGGGTTTCAGGGCTCATGGTTTGGGGTTTCGGGTTGTCAGACAGCAGAGAGCTTTGTACTTTCGAGGCTCCTGCGTACGCTGGTGCGCCAGGCGGTGACCCCTATGGGGCTCCAGTCAGCTACGGAGCTCCCGCGCCTGGCGCCTATGGCGCTCCAGTCAGCTACGGAGCTCCGGTGCCTGCCACCACCAGCCCAGTAACCTATGCGCCTGCCAATGCCGGCCCAGTCACCTACGGAGCTCCGGCGCCGGCCACCACCGGCCCAGTCACCTATGCAACTCCGGCGCCTGGTACTGCCGACCCCTACGCAGCTCCGGTCAGCTACGGTGCTCCGGTCAGCTACGGTGCTCCGGCGCCTGCCCCGGTCACCTACGCCTCTCCGGCGCCTGCTGGCACCGCCGACCCCTACGGAGCTCCGGTCAGTTACGGTGCTAGCCCTTATGGAGCCCCAGTGTCCTACGGAGCTCCTGTGCCTGCTGCTGCTACCGCGCCGGTCACCTATGCAGCTCCAGCACCCGGCACCACCAGCCCCTACGGAGCGCCTCAGTACACGTACGCCGCCGCTCCCGGGCAGCCGTCGGCCGCGCCAACATTTGTGCCAAATGCAAGCTACCAGACCCCATATTCGTACCCGGCGGCAGCACCAATGTCCGGCGGCAGCGTCAGGGCCTCAGGCCAACAAGCAGTTGGGTGCTTTTCGGTTTCTTTCGTCCTTCGAGCCTTAGCATGGCCTTCGAGCTTCCAACCCTCCAAGGATCTCTTTGCCCGTGTGGATGCAGATGGCAGTGGCAATATCTCCCCAGAGGAGTTTGCAAAGTACATGCAGATGCAGGGCCAGGCGGCAACGCCTTTCCGCCCTTTGGGTCCACCTGGGTGTCGTGTCTTAAGAGCCCAAGTCAGGGCCTTGTTTGCCACATGGTCAGATACAACTAGCGAGGTAGTGGCCTGGCCAGCTCCACAGAAGCTCAAAGGATCTTTTGCTTTGCTTTGACATCGCCTAGAAGTGCCTTCTCCAAGAACTTTGAACACTAAAGCCCCCATACCAAAGCAACTATGAATTCTGGACTCAACATGGACTCCACAGATTAGGCGCCAGAGAGCCTCCCTAAAGCGCAAGGGCTAGCAAGAGGGACCCCCCCTAAGAAGTCTGCCTCTGGAACAGAACACCGCCTGCCCCAACCCTAAATCCGAAACCCTGAGCCTTAAACCCTAAACCCCTGCGAAGGGCGCCGGGCTGAGCCCCAACTGTCCGGCTTGCGGCAACGTGTACTTGGACGACTCGCTGTTCTGCCGCAAGTGCGGCCGCAAGCGCGACTAGGTGCGGATCGACGTTGGAATGCCTTGCCTGGAGGTTCATGGGTAGTCATAAGTAGGGTGTTTGTCAGAAAGCCCTACTTTGGGTACTTAAAGCCCTGCTTAACCACCCATGAACCTCCGAAACCCCTAAGCCCTAAGCCCTAAACCCTAAACCCCAAAAACCCTAAACGAAGTCTCGTGGCATAGAGGTTTCTCCGCCCTCAGCAGTCTGAAAAAATGAAAGCGCAGGGATGAATGCCCCCCCCCCCCCCCCCCCCCTGCATCTTGAGCCCTAATCCTAAACCCTAAACCCGAAACCCTAAACCCTAAACCCTAAACCCAAAACCCAAAACCCTAACCGACAGCTTGTCCGAAAGGCCTAGATGGAGGCCGAACTCTCAGTTGCGTCGGTCCTTTTGTTCGGGCATGGTTTTAGGGTGTAGGGTTTGGGGTTTAGGGTTTGGGGTTTGGGGTCTAGGTTTAGGGTTTTTGGCAGACATCACGTGAGGTTTTGGGCTGGGGAGTAGGAGGAGCTTTCTGTTTTCAGACGATCTAGGGTTTGGGGTTTAGGGTCTGGGGCTTCGGTTGGCAGAGGTGTGGCCCACGAGGCTTTTGGAACATGTACCCTTCATAGTCAGGGTCTCAGGATCTTGGCGTTGTTCCTAAACCCTAAGCCCTGTTAAACCCCTCAAATCCCAAACCCCAAGCCCTAAAACCTAAAGCCCAAACCCTAAACCCCTTAACCCTGCCAAAAAAGTGAGAGAAACCTTAAGCTCTTCAAGCTCTGAACCCTGCGAAGGCCTGGCCACTGCTACGGTTTTGCTCACGTGAGCTAGGTAGTGGCTGCTTTCTTGAAGCATCTCAGCTACCCTAAACCCTAAACCCTAAACCCTAAACCCTAAACCCTAAACCCTAAACCCTAAACCCTAAACCCTAAACCCTAAACCCTAAACCCTAAACCCTAAACCCTAAACCAGCAGGAAAAGGATCTACTTGAAGGTTCATGAGAACTTCCAACACCAATTAGAACTGTACTTGTAAGCTCTGGAACGCCCGGGCTCCGGCTGCTAGGGGTTTAGGGTTTAGGGTTTAGGGTTTAGGGTTTAGGGTTTAGGGTTTAGGGTTTAGGGTTTAGGGTTTAGGGTTAGGGTTAAGGGTTTAGGGTCATCCGAAAACGATCTCCTCACACCCCGCATGTTCGAATGCTGTGCATAAGGGGTATGCGGAGGGACCCCTAGAAGGGACCCTTAATCGTATTCCCCTATATATACCTTATGTATGCCTTGTGTAGTTCCTATATACCTAAGTAGCCCCTAAATAACCCCAAATAACCCCTAAGGTCCCTTTTAAGGGTCCCTCCTTTAGTCCCCTGACGTGCCGAGGGCGTCCGCGGCAGAACCCTTGAACGGAGCGTGTGCGCCACCCAGATTCTCCCCTTAGGGTGCAGGGCCTTGGTTTTTTTTTCAGGGTGTTCGGGGCTTAAGGTTTAGGGTGTTGAGGGTGTTGAGGGTTTAGGGTTCAGCAGCTCATGTGCTAGCTTTCACTAGTCGAGCTTTTTCATCGTGTGATGGAGAAGTACCCGCCCACCCAGAGAATCCGTGCCCACGAAGGTTTCTACCTATGCCCACGAAGGTTTGTGCCTATGCCGACTTGTGCCAAAATGGGCTGCCGAGCACAGATTTTAGGCACAAACTTTCGTGGGCATAGGCAACAACCTTATGGGCATGGGCACAAACCTTCGTGGGCACAGGCACGCCGTGCCTGTGCTCAGGAAGGTTTGTGCCTTTGCCCACGAAGGTTTGTGCCCATTCGTGGGCACAGGCGCAAACTTTGGTGGGCATCATCGGCACAGCGTGCCGATGCCCACGAAGGTTTGTGCCTATGCCGACGAATCCAGTAGGGTTTAGATATACATATTTTTATATATTTATCTTTATATGTATTTTTACATGTATAGTAAGAGTGGTTTAGGGCTTCGGGTTTAGGATTTAGGGGGTCTTGGGTGTTTTGAGGGTGTTTAGGGTTTAGGGTTTTTAGGGTTCAGGGTTTGGGGTTTACAGGGTTTGAGGGTTTCATTAGGGCTTGGGGTAACCCAAAACCCAAAACCCTAAACCCTAGACCCTAAACCCTAAACCCTAACGAGTTTGTGGGCTTCAGGCTCTGGGGCCCGCAGGCTCAAGCCGCTGTCTGTAAATCCTAAGCCCTAAACGCCAAACCCCAAACCCCAAATCCCAAGCCCTAAACCCTAAACCCTAAACCTTCAACCCTAAACCCTAAACCCCAACCCCAAACCCTAAACCCTAAACCCAAAACATCCCAAAACCCGAAGACCCTGATCGCTGAGGCGCTCCACTGGATGACATCGCCAAGGGCATGAAGAGTGGTCCTCCGCGTCGGCAAGCGGGCCGCGGCCGAAGTGCGGTTTAGGGTTTAGGGTTTAGGGTTTGCTGATAGGGCGTAGATGCTGTGAAGGTTAGGTTTCGGAACAAGCTCGAAAGCTTCGTGAGGTGCGAAGCGCAGCTTTGGCCCGATTGCGGAGGGCCATCTAACACTTTTCTCCCACCCCACGCCGTCCAAGGCGGCAAAGCCACCCAAACCTATTCCTTTCAGGGTTTAGGCCTAAACTCAGACAACAGTCCCCTTCTAGAAAATTTATTCAGTTTCATGACGTTCATTGGGTCCGAAAGTCAAAGGAATTGGGGGGTCGGGAGGCAGTTTCAGGGAGGGTTGCAGGAGGTGCCAGCAAGGTCTGGGTTGAGCCAGGCTGGCCGGAAAGTCAAAGGCGGGGGGGTGAGGGGAGCCAGGGGGGCCAGGGGGTCAGGGGAAGTGAGGGGGGGGGGGGGTTTAAGGTAATTACTTTATTTTAAGGGACGGGACCAGTACTGGTCCCGAGGAGGACGTGTTCCGGTACCGGGCCCATCGTGGGCGCTACCGACCCCCATGCTGTGGGAGGCGGGCAGGGTTTAGGGTTTGGAGTTTAGGAGTTTAGGGTTTAGGGTTTAGGGGTAAAAGGAGGGACCCCTAGAAGGGACCCCTAATTGTTATTCCCCTTATACAACCCCCAAGTATACCTCTGCAGTCCTTATATACCCAAGTAGCCCCTAATCACCCCCAAATAACCTCTAAGGTCCCTTATAAGGGTCCCTCCTTTGATCAAATCAGGATCCTTAGTATGATGTAAGGTATATTCCTTAATGAAGGGTTATTGGGCTCTTTGTGCACAACATCCCAAATCCCCAATCCCAAATCCTAAATATGGTTCTAACGCCACCCAGTGCCTTTCGGGGGGTGGGGGGAGGCTCAGACCCTAAACCACAAACCCTAAACCCTAAACCCTAAACCCTAAACCCTAAACCCTAAACCCTAAACCCTAAACCCTAAACCCTGAACCCTGAACCCTAAACCCTAAACCCTAGATCTTAAATCACAATGTAATCAAGGGTTTCGTCATCGCGTACGCCAAAACACTGCACGCAGCGATGTCATCTTTGATAGTTGGTCAGTGCGAGTTTCAAAGTGCATTCGTTTTGAGCGCTTCTTTCGGGCGACAATACTGCGCACAGCGTTCTGGTGCTCATGATCATATTGTATATACAAAAAGGCGAAAACATGTGTACTGAGAGGCAAAAATGCTGCAAATGCCACTGTTTTCGCATCTTCGCCAAGGTTTGAATGCTTCTGATGGCGTGTCTTACAGTAAATACCAGTGTTTTGGGCATCTTCCACAAGGGCATGCACGCTTGTCACCGGCGCGTCTTGTTCCATAAACGTCAAACACCTTTAACAAGAACGCTGTAAATACCGATGTTTTGGGGCGTGACCGCAATGTCGTTTAAGGTGTTTAGGGTTTAGGGTTAAGGGTTTGGGGTTTTAGGGTTTAGGCTTTAGGGAATTCCCAAGACTCGAAAGGCCTTAAACCCTGCCAAGGTCGCTGCGCAGATTTTCACTGAGCCTGGGGGAAGACTGTCATTTTGCCCTCTTATCGAAAGCAGGGGTGCCCTCTTTGGGGTCCCTCTAGTAAGGACTATACATGATTATACCATGTTGCGGGTTTAGGGTTTAGGGTTTAGGGTTTAGGGTTTAGGGTTTAGGGTTTAGCGGTAAGTAGGGGGACCCCTATTTGGGGAAGCCCCACATATTGGCACTTTGCCTCTTATCGATTCGATAAGACAGACTGAGATTTGTACGAGGCAACATGCCGCCTCCGCGACTTCCTGCGTCGTTGCAAACACGAGCCTATGCCTAACCCTAAGCCCTAAACCCCTAAACCTTGGGTGTAGGATTTAGGGCTTAAGAGTTGCTCTTAAAGGGTTCAGGGATTGTCAGGGTTTTGCCGTGGCATGTTGCGTCCCTCCTCAGACTGATCGTTTGCTTTAAACCCTTCTCGCCCAGGCACGAAAACGAGCTCGGGTGCTGGCTTGGGGGGTTTGCGAAAATAAGGGACCCATAATCTAGACCCCAAAATTGTAGGATTCCCCTTCTAACCCCAAACCCTAAACCCTAAACCCCAAACCCCAAACCCTAAACCCTAAACCCTAAACCCTAAACCCTAAACCCTAAACCCTAAACCCTAAACCCTAAACCCTAAACCCTAAACCCTAAACCCTAAACCCTAAACCGCAAACCCCAACAGGACGCCAATAAGGTACCCCTACTCTCGGAAACCCCCACATCTTGCATCTCACTGGAACCTCGAACGCATGAGTGTCGGAAGCCTAGGAGTTTCTGATGTTTAAGAGCTAGGGCTTTTACAGGGTTTAGGGTTTAGGGTTTAGGGTTTAGGGTTTAGGGTGGAGGCGTTGCCCCGCAACAGCGCGTGCTGTCAAGTGCCTTGGTCCAAACCGCGAGAGCCGTAGAGACCATCTTGACATCAGCTTCAGCATACAGCGTTCCGGACATAGACATTCCAACAGCGCGAGAGCTTTCGGTATCCTGAGCCTAAATAACCAGTTCCTCACGCAGTCTCGAGGAGGACTGTCGCGCGTGAATGTAGGAGCCGCCCAGCCCTAAACCCTAAGCCCTAAACCCGAAACCCGAAACCCTAAAACCCTAGAACCCTAAAACCCTGAAACCCTAAAACCCTCCACCCGCAGCCCCCAAGCACCATAAAGCCCCTGAAGCCCGGTTTCTGAACACTTCGGCATACAACATCTTAGGGTAGTTGCATGGCATAGATCTGGAATCTAAGGGTAGTCTCATGTTCTCGTAATATGGTCCCTTACCTCCCTCCAAGGGTTCTTGATGTATGGGCCCTTAATTTGTATAGGGTACATAAGGTATATACGGGGTCTCCGTTTAAGGGCCGATACTAAGGGACCATATAACTACCCCGAGATAGAATCCTTTAAGGAAGGGTAAGGGACTATTTCTAAGGCACCATGCAAGTTCCCTTTGACAACAAGTAGGGTTTAGGGTTTAGGGTTTAGGGTTTACGGTTTAGGGTTTAGGGTTTAGGGTTTAGGGTTGCCCCTATCCCTAAACCCTATGTCAAAAAGAGCCCTAAGCCCTAGGCCCATTCGATGCCGTGCCACACAAAGCTCGGTGGGTTCTGGGGATACTTTACAATTTCCCTTAATTGGGTTCAAGAGGGAGGATGAGTTCGGAACAACTTCCAAAGGATTTGAAAGGGCCAACCCTAAACCCCAAAACCTAAACCCTAAACCCTAAACCCTAAACCTCAAACCCTAAACCCTAAACCCTAAACCCGACTTATCGGAGTACTTTCAAAGGCTTTGGGGTTTAGGGTTTAGGGTGAGGTAACCTTAGAACCCTGTTGCACCTCGAGTCTTAAAGTCTAAGTCTTGTACCTTTCTGTCTTTGGGGCTTAGGGTTTAGGGTTCAGGGCTGGGACCCAGAGTAGGCCCTTCTTCCCTGTTTTTAGAGTGTAGCTTCCCTTCTACCCCCCTTGTTAGCAAAAAAAGGAGACCCTTTTCATTCCTAGCTTACTCCTGGCCACCCTAAACCCTAAACCCTAAATAGACCCTGAACACAAAAACCCCAACCCCTAGGGCTAGGTTGAATACCGAGTGTTATGTACACAAGCTGAGAGTTTAAGTCCTCTTATCCGCCCTGCCAGCAAAATCCACGCCCTGGCACTTCTGGCCACCCGAAGCCCTAATCCTAATCCCTAAACCCTCAACCCTAAACCCTAAACCCTAAACCCTAAACCCTAAACTCTAAACTCTAAACCCTAAACCCTAAACCCTACACCCCAGGACTTCATCACTTCGTCATGGCAACCGCAGCTGGGAGCCCGAGGGGGGGGGGGGGTTAAGGGTTAAGGGTTTAGGGTTCAGGGCTTAAGGTTTAGTGTTTAGGGTTCAGGGCTTAGGGCTGAGGGCGGCAAACATGCTTGAAGGTTATAGAACAGTCTATACGAAGTGAAGATGAGCGTCGCAAAATGCGGCAAGACTTTGTCGTGTCTTTCGGAAAAGGGAGGAGCCCGTGAGATCTCTTTGTCTTGGCCCTTATTGGGTTTAGGGTTTAGGGTTTAGGGTTTAGGGTTTAGGGTTTAGGGTTTAGGGTTTAGGGTTTAGGGTTTAGGGTTTAGGGTTTAGGGTTTAGGGTTTAGGGCTAGGACCCAGAGCAGGCCCCTTATTCCTTTTGTAGGGTTTTGGTTCCCTTGTAAGCCCCTTTAAACCCAAGCGTGTGCCCTTTTTTGCCTGGGTTACTCTTGGGTCTAGTTGCCGATGTCCTGCAGGTGTACGGTATACTTCTGGATGCCTATGGATCAGATTCCGATCCGCGGGGGTTTTGTGGGTCTTCGGGGCTTAGGTTAGGGGTCGGTGTTCACGCTTGTAACCTGAAAGCACCCTTTCCCCCTTCCCCCACCCCCCCTCGCCCCTAAACCCCAAACCCTAACCCTAAACTCTAAACCCTAAATTCTAAACCCTATACTTACCCTCAACCTAAACCCTAACACCCACACCCGCCGAGGACATGTTTGCTCGCCTGGATGCGGATGGTAGCGGCAACATCTCCCGCGAAGAGTTTGCGAAGCTGATGCAGATGCAGGCCAGGTGGCTGCGCCTTGAAGTTTAGGGTTTAGGGTTTAGGGTTGAGGCTTCAGGGCCCTTTTAGGGTTTAGATTTAGGGGTTTAGGGTCTTAAGTGAACCCTAAGCCCTAAACCCTGCGAACCCTGCAAACCCTAAACCC